GATGATGGTCTGTTTACTGTGGGGGAAGATGGGATGCATCAGATGGTGGTCCGTTTACTGTGGGGAAGATAGGATGCATCAGTTGGTGGTGGTCTGTTTACTGTTGGGGAAGATGGGATGCATGTGATGATGGTCTGTTTACTGTGGGGAAGATGGGATGCATCAGTTGGTGGTGGTCTGTTTACTGTGGGGAAGATGGGATGCATCAGATGATGGTGGTCTGTTTACTGTGGGGGAAGATGGGATGCATGTGATGATGATCTGTTTACTGTGGGGGAAGATGAGATGCATCAGATAGTGGTCTGTTTACTGTTGGGGAAGATGGGATGCATGTGATGATGGTCTCTTTACTATGGGGAAGATAGGATGCATTAGTTGGTGGTGGTCTGTTTACTGTGGGGAAGATGGGATGCATCAGATGATGGCGGTCTGTTTACTGTGGGGGAAGATGGGATGCACCAGATGGTGGTGGTCTGTTTACTGTTGGGGAAGATGGGATGCATCAGTTGGTGGTCTGTTTACTGTGGGGGAAGATGGGATGCATCAGATGGCGGTCTGTTTACTGTGTGGTAAGATGGGATGCATCAGATGGTGGTGGTCTGTTTACTGTGGGGAAGATGGACGCATCAGATGGTGGTGGTCTGTTTACTGTGTGGGAAGATAGGATGCATCAGATGGTGGTGGTCTGTTTACTGTGGGAGTGGTGGGTGCATCAGATGGCGGTCTGTTTACTTTGTGGGGAAGATGGGATGCATCAGATGGTGGTGGTCTGTTTACTGTTGGGGAAGATGGGATGCATCAGATGGTGGTGGTCTGTTTACTGCTGGGGAAGATGGGATGCATCAGATGGTGGTCTGTTTACTGTGGGGAAGATGGGATGTATGTGGTGATGGTGGTCTGTTTACTGTGGGGGAAGATGGGATGCATCAGTTGGTGGTGGTCTGTTTACTGTGGGGGAAGATGGGATGCATGTGATGATGGTCTGTTTACTGTGGGGGAAGATGGGATGCATGTGATGATGGTCTGTTTACTGTGGGGGAAGATGGGATGCATGTGATGATGGTCTGTTTACTGTGGGGGAAGAAGGGATGCATGTGATGGTGGTCTGTTTACTGTGGGGGAAGAAGGGATGCATGTGATGGTGGTCTGTTTACTGTGGGGGAAGAAGGGATGCATCAGTTGGTGGTGGTCTGTTTACTGTGGGGAAGATGGATGCATGTGATGGTGGTCTGTTTACTGTGGGGGAAGATGGGATGCATCAGTTGGCGGTGGTCTGTTTACTGTGGGGGAAGATGGGATGCATGTGATGATTGTCTGTTTACTGTGGGGGAAAAAGGGATGCATGTGATGGTGGTCTGTTTACTGTGGGGAAGATGGGATGCATGTGATGGTGGTCTGTTTACTGTGGGGGAAGATGGGATGCATCAGTTGGCGGTGGTCTGTTTACTGTGGGGGAAGATGGGATGCATGTGATGATTGTCTGTTTACTGTGGGGGAAAAAGGGATGCATGTGATGGTGGTCTGTTTACTGTGGGGGAAGAAGGGATGCATCAGATGGTGGTCTGTTTACTGTGGGGGAAGATGGGATGCATGTGATGGTGGTCTGTTTACTGTGGGGGAAGAAGGGATGCATCAGATGGTGGTCTGTTTACTGTGGGGGAAAAAGGGATGCATGTGATGGTGGTCTGTTTACTGTGGGGGAAGATGGGATGCATGTGATGATTGTCTGTTTACTGTGGGGGAAAAAGGGATGCATGTGATGGTGGTCTGTTTACTGTGGGGAAGATGGGATGCATGTGATGGTGGTCTGTTTACTGTGGGGAAGATGGGATGCATGTGATGGTGGTCTGTTTACTGTGGGGAAGATGGGATGCATGTGATGGTGGTCTGTTTACTGTGGGGAAGATGGGATGCATCAGTTGGCGGTGGTCTGTTTACTGTGGGGGAAGATGGGATGCATGTGATGATGGTCTGTTTACTGTTGGGGGAGAAGGAGTGCATCAGATGATGGCGGTCTGTTTACTGTGGGGAAGATGGGATGCATCAGTTGGTGGTGGTCTGTTTACTGTGGGGGAAGATGGGATGCATGTGATGATGGTCTGTTTACTGTGGGGAAAAAGGGATGCATGTGATGGTGGTCTGTTTACTGTGGGGGAAGAAGGGATGCATGTGATGGTGGTCTGTTTACTGTGGGGAAAAAGGGATGCATGTGATGATGGTCTGTTTACTGTTGGGGGAGAAGGAGTGCATCAGATGATGGCGGTCTGTTTACTGTGGGGAAGATGGGATGCATCAGTTGGTGGTGGTCTGTTTACTGTGGGGGAAGATGGGATGCATGTGATGATGGTCTGTTTAATGTGGGGAAGATGGGATGCATCAGTTGGTGGTGGTCTGTTAACTGTGGGGAAGATGGGATTTATCAGATGATGGTGGTCTGTTTACTGTGTGGTAAGATGGGATGCATGTGATGATGGTCTGTTTACTATGGGGAAGATGGGATGCATCAGTTGGTGGTGGTCTGTTTACTGTGGGAGAGGTGGGTGCATCAGATGGCGGTCTGTTTACTTTGTTGGGGAGATGGATGCATCAGATGGTGGTGGTCTGTTTAGTGTGAGGGAAGATGGGATGCATCAGATGATGGCGGTCTGTTTAATGTTGGGGAAGATGGGATGCATGTGATGGTGGTCTGTTTACTGTTGGGGAAGATGGGATGCATCAGATGGTGGTCTGTTTACTGTTGGGGAAGATGGGATGCATCAGATGGTGGTCTGTTTACTGTGGGGAAGATAGGATGCATCAGATGGTGGTGGTCTGTTTACTGTGTTGGATAGTGGGGGTATGTTTACTGTGGGGAAGATAGGATGCATCAGATGGTGGTGGTCTGTTTACTGTGTTGGTGAGGTGAAATGGGGTTTAACGTTGCGTCCAAGATTATTGCACTTAAATGGCGACGTGCATGTACGTGTGTGTGTTTGTGTGGCTGCTTGTACTTGTCCGGACTGATGCCGATTTATAGTGCTAGCTCACTGAGATACCATGCCGCAGTTTAACATGAAACCCCACTCAGACACAGTATACTGACTCCGAGCCGACCAGTCCTTGTTTTAGCCCCTTAATGCCGAGCGCCAGACAGGGTAACAACAAGTACCATCTTTTAACGTCTTTTGGTATGACGCGGTCGGGGATCGAACCCCGGACCTTCCGCTCTCCGGGAGGATGCTCTACCACTAGACCACGGAGGCGGTCGTTTACTGTGTTGGATAGTGGGGGTATGTTTAGTGTGGGGAAGATAGGATGCATCAGATGGTGGTGGTCTGTTTAGTGTGTTGGATAGTGGTGGTCTGTTTACTGTGGGGAAGATAGGATGCATCAGATGGTGGTGGTCTGTTTACTGTGTGGGAAGATAGGATGCATCAGATGGTGGTGGTCTGTTTACTGTGTGGGAAGATAGGATGCATCAGATGGTGGTGGTCTGTTTACTGTGTGGGATAGTGGGGGTATGTTTAGTGTGGGGAAGATAGGATGCATCAGATGGTGGTGGTCTGTTTACTGTGTTGGATAGTGGGGGTATGTTTGAATGTAGGAGAAAGCTTGTGGTTGATTTGAATAATTATTGATTTAGGAACCGATTAATAGCTACAGATATATTGTGTCTAAGGTGATCAATATTGATCTGAAAATTGAACTGATAGATGGAGTAGAATAGAGACGTTGGTCTGAACTCACATCACAGTGCCAGCCAAGGGAGATTACTCTGAATGAACGCCACCTTCACTGTGGTGTGGGGTACATACTAAACATAAGTACATGGTATAGATGATATAGTTCCTAATAAATTACATTTCTTATTTCTGAACACAAATTACCAAATCCCCAAATGTGCCCCTCTTTTTCAAAAAGCTATATCCTCGCTTGCAAATGATGTGACTCACAAACAGTACCAGGTAAATTGCACATGTGATTCAATGATGACCAGCTGCTGCTACACATTCTTTGTGTGAATAAATCAAATTTTAAACATACATTGGTGTGTGTGCAGTCAACCCTGGCAAGTGCTTGTCCACTTTTGCAATGCAATAAAACACAGAGGAAAAGGATAGGTGAAATGGGAATCTCATTAAAATCAGACCTTAGTTCTCGCTACCGTTTAACAAAGAACCTTTGTTTAGCGGTAGCGAGAACTAAGATCTGATTTTAATGAGATTGGGTGAAATGGTGAGGTGAGATTATAGTGATAAACGTGTGTGTGTGTGTGTGTGTGTGTGTGTGTGTGTGTGTGTGTGTGTGTGTGTGTGTGTGTGTGTGTGTGTGTGTGTGTGTCTGTGTGTGTGTGTGTGTCTGTGTGTGTGTCTGTCTGTCTGTCTGTCTGTCTGTCTGTCTGTTTGTACTAGTCCAGACTAATGCCAAGTTTATAGTGCTAGCCCACTTTGATACCATGCTGCAGTTTAACATAAATACCCAACTCAAACACAGTAAACCTCCACAGTTTAGCCTCTTAATGCTGAGCACCAGACAGGGTAACAACAAGTACCATCTTTTAATGTCTGTTGGTGTGACGTCACATCATGACATCACTTCTTGAACTTACAGCCAGGTAAGCCAAACATAAATAAAACATTCATCAATTCAGATTTTATTTCTATTTAACAAGTTGACACAAGTCTGAGACACATTATATGTCTAAATACACCAAATTCTACTCAGTGAGATGTGACTCTCAAAAGCATGTAACACAATGATGTCAATGGTTTTGGCACAAATCTAACATCTCTGCATGAATGGCATTCAATAAAGCTCCTGCCTCAGTATAATGGTATGTTCATGGTTCACAATGCTGATGGGGGCACGGGTGGCCCAGTCGTCTAAGGCGCCGCAATTCGCTGTGCAGAGTTGCGTCCCTTGGGCACGCCAGAAACCTATGATTGTGGGTTCGAATCCTGGTTCGCCCCAATTATGTTTCTAGGTTTGTCAGCACCATACCCGTGCTCGTGGGTTTCACCGAAGTGGTAAATGTCTAAGACCTGCATCACTTTTGGCTTTCCTCCCATATTCAGCTGACACGCCGTGATATTACTGGAATACTGTTAAAAGCGGCGTTAACCCCAACTCATTCACTCACTCACAATGCTGACCAGTGTTTTAGGATGATAATATGACTAAAATATCTCTTAGTTAACAATCAACACTTGTAAATTATGGAGAATAAATGGACAATAGTTAAAGTCCTCATGATGGTGATGTTAGTACAATGTTGATGTCATGCCAAATTATTATGAAATCTTACAAAAACATGGTGAATTGCAATGTTCCCATGGCTGTTTTATAGAATATTCTTATAGAGAAAGATGAAAAACCTGGTATCGGGTATTTCATCCACAAACTCAAAATTGTTCAGGTTGTGTTGTAGGTCTGGGATGGGTAAATTGGGTACCCAGGTTGGGTGGGTACTGAGTAGGACCCAGGTACACACTGGACTACCTAGACTAGTGGTTAGTCACGTGATATATTGTTTAATGACAAAAATTATCTAGAACCCTATGGTTATACTATATGTCACTAATGTTCGCATTTCTTTCTGATTATGCACCCATTCCTCCTGAATTTTCATATTTTGGAATAAATGTATAACTTTAGTGTATGCATGACCAGATTGTTAAATACATGTATCTAAATACCTTTTGCCAGGGCTATGGTAAAAAATTTCCTATCAGACATTTTGTACCTATCTCTTTAGACCTACAGTGGGTACCTGGGTAGGGTTTCCAAAGGAAAGGGGCAGGTTTTATGAGTTATAACTGTGGGGGTGATCTCTGACGCAGGACAGTACATGGAAGAGGAACTGGTCTGTCTTGGCAGCTGCAGATCTAGACCACTGTGGGGGTGATCTCTGATGCAGGACAGTTCATGGAAGAGGAACTGGTCTGTCTTGGCAGCTGCAGATCTAGACCACTGTGGGGGTGATCTCTGATGCAGGAGTTCATGGAACAGGAACTGGTCTTGAGTTATTCCTACAATGGGTGAGTATATATTCTCTAATGCTGACAAATGAGCATTTAACTACAATGCGTTACATTAAAGTAACAGAAAGCTGTTCCTATTGGATCTGGAAGACTTCAAGCTCTAGATAATTTACAGTTTGTTCAAGGTCAAGCAGCTATACAAGTTTGTTCATTCCTGTCTTCGATTACCCAGTGTATGTTATATCCATCCTATCATGATACCCTGGACCCATCCACCATCACAGCACCCTGACCAGATCCATCTCTCTCATCGCCAACAGAATCTCTGAAATCATCCAATATGACTCTTCTGAATGAGAGTTTGGCATGGATTTCAAGTTTCCCTGTATTTGAGAGGGTATGCATCAAGGCTTGTGGGTACACTAGTGATATCACCAGCTGTTGCACTCATGAAAAGTCAGAGTAATTTGATGGATGTGTCATTTGAACCGTACTCAAAACATAACAATGGTGGCAAATGGGTCCCCTGTGTTTATCATAAAAGAATGAGGATATAATACCCTTGATAATCGAGGATGAGTACCAACAGGATAATTACATTTGTTGAAACAAATAGTTTTACATACAAAACATCAGGTCTATGAGTTTGTTAAAAAGGATAAATCCTCAATGAAGATTTACCTATAAGCGAGTCAAATGTTAAAACATAGTTATGACAATATCAGTCTTGCTGAGAAACACTAAACTCCATACCTCACTCACATCAATGGAGTAACAGTACTCAACAGTAATTTTCATAACCTCATAGAATAAGGCAAAACCAATTTTTTTTGTTTTCCATATTTTGTGTTCAAACATCAAAGGTAGGCAAAAATCCATGTCATCAGGGTTGGTCTGAGGTAAATTTTTGAGAAAGTTTCAACAGAAACACAAATGCAAACATGTTCAAAATATACAAAACACATCCTTTAATAACTAATGTTTGCACAATCTCAAATATAACAATAAAACAAATTAAGTCTGGCCTAAGGTTGGGAGACCATGAGTTAAGTGTTGGTAGTCAGTTGTAGGACACTAGTTTCAGTAGATTCTGTCATCTTTGTAAACAACCACAAATATTTGCAGCCAAAGTCTAGGAGGACATCAGCCATTTTGTCAATTGTCATCTTAAAAGTAGTTTTAGAAGCCATCAGTTAGTAATTATTTGTATATATTTGTAAAAAACATTTTTTCACACCCATAATCTCATTGTACAGCATACACATTCTTCGTGTCATTTGTATATACAGAGAATAAACAATTTACAAATAAATTAGTGTCTCCAACACAACCTTGATGAATTCGATGGTCAAAAGTAAGGTAAATTGATTGCTTTCAGTTTCTTCAAACTACTAAAAAATTCAAAATCTTGATATTCGCATTTATTTTTCTAATTTGTATAGTTTGCAGAATTGTTGTTTTAAAAAAAACACTTGTGTATTAGCTAGGATTGCCTAAAATATTTAATATTTAGTAACAATTTTCAACTTGCTTAATATACTCACTGCCAAAAGAAACGCGAATACCACACATGTTGGTTAATACATGTATATGAAGAATTACATTCAAGAGATATTACATTCGTTCGAACCACAAACGAACATACTGTTGTGTTGTTTGAACTAACGTTCATGAATGATTCACATGTGACGTCATAGAGCCATAACTCCATTTCTCTCGTGCAGGATTAGCGTAACATCATATTGCTTACAGCTTCAATGGATAACACCAAAAGTTATTTTCTTTATATTTACGATTTCATTTCTTTATGTCAGTTAGTTACCAGGGTAGGTAAGCCAATAAACAACCATAGGCCTAAGGAGAATAACTAAACCAACCTACAACAACGAGACGAGGACCACATTCTCCATTCCTCATGAAAATAAGTCCACATCCTCATCCTCTTCAACTGTATTTTGTTGAATATAAGATAAAATATCGCCACTACTTAAAATAGATTTTTCTTGTGTGTTTTCATCAGATTCAGGCTTGACCTCTGTCTTTGGTTGGACACCTGGTTTTGGTTTGAGACCTGGTTTTGGTTTGAGACCTGGTTTTGGTCTGACATCGGGTTTGGATTTAACCTCACTGGCTTCTTCTGTTTTCTCATCTTGTTTCTTCTTTGACTTCTTGGTGATCTCCGTTTTCATGAAGTTTTCAAGATCCTCATCGATTCTGAAAAAAACATCACGTTGATGTACATTTGCTACTGAAAAGGATGAACGCTCTGTAAGGAAACACATGATGTGTCATCATGAACATTGTATCTTTCAGTGACAACCATACCTGGATGTTATGAGTGAGTTGGTTCATCGTTGCTTTGAACAGTATTTCAGTTATATTTCTGTGTCAAATATATGTGGGAGGAAAGCCTAGAGTGATGCAATTCTTATATGTTTTCAACTTCGGTGAAACCCACACACACAGATATAGCGCTGATAAACCTTGAAACATAATCAGGCTGTACCAGGATTTATCTTCCCAAGGCAAGGGCGTTAACTGACTATAAGGACCAGTTTCCACCCTTGCCGAACTAGGTTACATTTTGTCTGGACTAACGTGTCTATGCGAAGTCCAATCAAAATTGTGAGATGAATATACATTCAATTTCGCAAGCAACAATGTGCAGATTTTGGCTGACTGCGAGGTCTGCAAAGCATGTGTACCAGTTTTATTTCAATATAGATCTTAATTATTGATCAAATTGTCTTGACAGGGCGCTCCCATTTTGTTTGAAGTGATGTAGAGGTGGAATCTGATTGGTCAGTTGGAGGGACGTAGAAGAGGCATAACCCGTAATAGCCACTGGTGGCGCTAGGATGGAGCCTGGAAATTCCAGCCAGTTCAGCAAGGGTGGAAATTGGACTTTCATTGTCAGTTAACACGCTTGCCTTGGGAAGATGGCCAGAATTATAAGCCATGATCATTCAAAGATGAACAGACAACCAGTAAGTCAGAGTTTCAGGCATGTTATACAATTAATCACTCATTGTCATGGCAGAGGTTTTTGATGCACTAATGTACTGAAAATAATTACCATCCCCTAATGCTTGTCATATTTGTGGATGACCCTCCCCAAACCAAAATGCAAAAGCACATTATATTTTCATATTTTAAGATAAAATGTCCATTTTGTACTGAACCTCCCCAAATATGTTTTTTTTTCTTCTTAGGAACCACCCCTAGAGACTGTCATAATGTTTGGTGACACTTCCTGAATTCTCCCTGATTCACCCATCCCTATAATAATGATGGGTCCCTTCGTTAACAGAGCTTTGTTTTATTTCCGTTATATGAAGGAGGATAACCCTTAGTGATGCATGTTGTTGACATCTCCCACTATGGGGCAACTCATGAGCACAGACATTGATGGATATGACTGACCAACAGTCCACCTGAACAATAGTATCCATAAACTACACCAGTGTATAAAATTCCCAAACATTTCAGTCAAACAACCGGACTGGCGTCTTTGCAAAGTTATCAGATCAGATAAAATGTTGCCAGTCCAGAATTTTCTAGAAAGTAAGAAAAGGGTGAATATAAGAATAGAACTGTTTAATATTAGTTCTCAGAGAATAGCAATAAACTGATGGATTGTTAACTAAGTAACTTTAATATTGAAATTTTATTCATTAATAATGTGTATAATATTTAGTTTGAAGTAAAATTACTTTTTACATTGAAGTAAAACATAAATGCTTAGGTTATTTAACGACTGCAATAACAGTCCGACCATCGGGCATGCAACTTTACAAAAACTGACCATCCGTCAGCAAACTAGGCTGTCCCGGACTCTCGGTAGACGGGTATTTTAAACGCTGACTACCGGGTATACTTTCAAGCGTGTTGCTTACTGGAATAGTGAGGGATCTGTTTCATCCGTGCTGGCTGGTGCTGTAACTGGTGCAGTGGCTTCTTTATCAACAACAGCATCAGGGAGGAAGAGTGAGGCATCATCTTCAGATATTCCTCCACCGAAGTCTTGTGCCTCAAACAGCTGAGTCGATGCTACAACACCACAAGGCCAGCAGGGACATAGTTACATGTTAAACATATCCACCTGTCTTTTTTTTCAATTGCAAAAATAATTATCACATCAGCACTGCAAAAATAAATTGGCAATAAATTCCCATTCTTTTATCCATGTTACCATGGAAACAAAGCTGTGATAAAGGGGAGAATGGTGAGAAAAGAATGTCAACAGATTTGAAATGTCCATGGGAGATAACTCTGATAATTTTATACCGCATTCAATAGAATGGACCAATAACATTGGCAAGTAGAATACAGTAATAGAATGGGCCCAAATAGGCCTCCTGGAGGCCCAAGATACCTCTAAAACAAACTACTTCCAGTATTGCACTATGACCAATCCTGATTACAACTGTGTCTGTGTAATAAGTTTTGTTTGTTTGTTTGTTTAACACCACATTAAGCAATATTCCTGTTTTATGACGTCTGCTGGTAAATACTCAAGTCTGGACCAGACAACCCAGTGATCGATATTGTGAGCAAAGACCAACGGCATTCGGGTATGATAACACACAATCAAACAAGTCATGGAGCCTGACCACCATTTGGTCGCCTGCATACATTGCTGTGGACTGATTCTATCCCGGAATCCTCATAGGGGCTGTGTAATCAGTGCCATGTGAGATACTGAGTCTGTAATTAGGTATTCAGTACCTGACAGTTTGATTTTCACCATAAAAGCTTATGTTGCAGACAAAGTGGGTATTGATTATTGGAATCAAACTGAGCCCAGTCTCTTGTTCAATTTGTTCCCATGACCTTTCAATTGCTGCCACCCATAATCAGTTTGATATTTATAGTTCTGTGAAAAAATGGAGAAAATCATACTAGCACTGAAATTTGATTTTCTTCACTTCAAACTGCAGGGGATGAGCCCAAAGAGGTCACATGTTACACCAGAATCAAGATTTGAAATCCACTATCAAAATACATGTATAACATATAAAATAAAGTCCTCTACCCAACTGAGTCAATTTAGAAAAAAAATGGCCTGAAAATGGTGAAAAGTTCAATCCCATTATTAGTGAGCAGTGACCTACCTTCTTCTTCTTCTCCACCATCAGCAGCATCCAGGCCAGCAAACAGTTCATCCCCCTCTTGCTTGTCTTCATCATCAAACAGACTTGCTTGAGGCCTGCAAAACCAAACTGGATTATAACACTTGGTATGAAAATATCAAATATGAAAATATCAAACATCCACTAATACAGGCGGATCCAGAGGGGTGTGTGGGGTGCGTGTGTGGAGTGTGTGTGTGGAGTGCATGTGTGGAGTGCATATGTGGGGTGCGTGTGTGGGGTGCGTGCGTGCGAGGGGTCCCTCCCACTTTGAAAACAAAATGTATAGGTATGTTGTAGACAGTAAAACTATCTGAGAGAGGATTTCTTAACTTGGACTCCTCCCTTCCAAAAATGCTGACTCTGTCCTTGACTGATATGACTCATTAAGAGGTTTTAGCCATATTCCAGCAATGTCACAGTGGAGGACACCAGAAATGGGCCTCACATATTAGACCAATGTGGGAATAGAACCTGGGTCAGGTGACAAGTAAACCTTTATCCACTAGGCTACCCTACAATCATCCAACTGTAAAGGCCGCCATCAGATATACCAGTATTGAGCCATCCTGTACAGTATCACACAATCAGCAGGATCACAGTCGACTCTCTCCCATCACTTGGGCTTGACACTGTCCACACTCAGCAGCAATGTGTACCCACACAATCAGCAAGGTCACAGCTGACTCTCTCCCATCACTTGGGCTTGACACTGTCCACACTCAGCAGCAATGTGTACCCACACAATCAGCAGGGTCACAGCCGACTCTCTCCCATCACTTGGGCTTGACACTGTCCACACTCAACAGCAATGTGTACCCACACAATCAGCAGGGTCACAGCCGACTCTCTCCCATCACTTGGGCTTGACACTGTCCACACTCAGCAGCAATGTGTACCCACACAATCAGCAAGGTCACAGCCGACTCTCTCCCATCACTTGGGCTTGACACTGTCCACACTCAGCAGCAATGTGTACCCACACAATCAGCAAGGTCACAGCCGACTCTCTCCCATCACTTGGGCTTGACACTGTCCACACTCAGCAGCAATGTGTACCCACACAATCAGCAAGGTCACAGCTGACTCTCTCCCATCACTTGGGCTTGACACTGTCCACACTCAGCAGCAATGTGTACCCACACAATCAGCAGGGTCACAGCTGACTCTCTCCCATCACTTGGGCTTGACACTGTCCACACTCAGCAGCAATGTGTACCCACACAATCAGCAAGGTCACAGCTGACTCTCTCCCATCACTTGGGCTTGACACTGTCCACACTCAGCAGCAATGTGTACCCACACAATCAGCAGGGTCACAGCTGACTCTCTCCCATCACTTGGGCTTGACACTGTCCACACTCAGCAGCAATGTGTACCCACACAATCAGCAGGGTCACAGCCGACTCTCTCCCATCACTTGGGCTTGACACTGTCCACACTCAGCAGCAATGTTTACCCACACAATCAGCAAGGTCACAGCTGACTCTCTCCCATCACTTGGGCTTGACACTGTCCACACTCAGCAGCAATGTGTACCCACACAATCAGCAGGGTCACAGCCGACTCTCTCCCATCACTTGGGCTTGACACTGTCCACACTCAGCAGCAATGTGTACCCACACAATCAGCAAGGTCACAGCCGACTCTCTCCCATCACTTGGGCTTGACACTGTCCACACTCAGCAGCAATGTGTACCCACACAATCAGCAGGGTCACAGCCGACTCTCTCCCATCACTTGGGCTTGACACTGTCCACACTCAGCAGCAATGTGTACCCACACAATCAGCAAGGTCACAGCTGACTCTCTCCCATCACTTGGGCTTGACACTGTCCACACTCAGCAGCAATGTGTACCCACACAATCAGCAAGGTCACAGCCGACTCTCTCCCATCACTTGGGCTTGACACTGTCCACACTCAGCAGCAATGTGTACCCACACAATCAGCAAGGTCACAGCCGACTCTCTCCCATCACTTGGGCTTGACACTGTCCACACTCAGCAGCAATGTGTACCCACACAATCAGCAGGGTCACAGCCGACTCTCTCCCATCACTTGGGCTTGACACTGTCCACACTCAGCAGCAATGTGTACCCACACAATCAGCAAGGTCACAGCTGACTCTCTCCCATCACTTGGGCTTGACACTGTCCACACTCAGCAGCAATGTGTACCCACACAATCAGCAAGGTCACAGCTGACTCTCTCCCATCACTTGGGCTTGACACTGTCCACACTCAACAGCAATGTGTACCCACACAATCAGCAAGGTCACAGATGACTCTCTCCCATCACTTGGGCTTGACACTGTCCACACTCAGCAGCAATGTGTACCCACACAATCACTTGTATAGTTACCGGTGAGGGAAAATGGGGCTTAACGTTGACTTCAATATTATTACACTCATTAAGCGAAGTGCATGCATGTGTGTGTGTACTAGCCCAGACTTATGCAGGTTTTATAGTGCTAGACCACTGAGATACCATGCCACGGTTAAACTGAATACCCAACTCAGACACAGTATACTGTCGTGGAGATGGCCAGTTCTTGTTATATTCCCAATACATGTACTGAGCTCCAGGCAATGTAACAACAAATACCATCTTATTTTTGTTGTTTACTATGATGTGACCTGGGGATCTAACCACCAACATCCTGGTTGCTGAGCTCACTACACCACTGAGGCGTTTGTTTCACACACTACAATGACTTCGGGATGTAACTGCCCCATTACTCATCATGTATTTAATACCACTCTTAGCAGTATCGTATTGCTAAACAAACTATAGAAACATCTGGGTGAACACCGTGTTTTGGGACAGTAGGTGCTCTGCATGCAACAAGAGAGCACTTTCCACTGAACAGAAGACTGCAGTCCACATGTAATTCATGCTCTTCTTGAACCCTAGTGGGTGAGGTAGTGTATTGGTTGGTCACTCTCTGGGCATCCATGCCCTGCCAGGGAGAGGTAAGGTGAGGTGAAATTTGGTTTAACGTCGCTTCCAAAATTATTGCACTTATAAAGTGATGTGCATGCACATGTGTGTGTGTGTCTAGCTAGTTGTACTAGTCTTGACTGATGTCAATTTATAGCGTGAGCCCACTGAGATACCATGCCATAGTTTCACATGAATACCTCACTCACTACATCTCACAGTGTACTGACTCTGAGACGACCAGTCCTTGTTTTATCCCCTTAATGCCAAGCGCCAGACAGGGTAACAAGAACCATCTTTTAACATCTTTTAGTATGACACAGCTGGTGATCAAAGCCTGTCCGGGTGGACGCTCTACCACTGGACATGAAGGCTGTCCCTGCCAAGTAGACAGATTATAAGGGTGGGTGAGGTAGTGTATTGTTGGTCCCCTGCTTACCCCTGATCCTCCACATCGTCACCCTCGGTTTCTGTCTTCTCACTGCTGTCCTCGTTACCACCATCATTGATTCCCCCTTTCCTAAACGTCCCTGCCTTCATTGCGCCAACACCTGAAGTCATCAATATACACCACATAAACCATTCTGAATCACAGGTAACACATAAACCATTCTGAATCACAGGTAACACATAAACCATTCTGAATCACAGGTAACAAATAAACCAATCTGAATCACAGGTAACACATAAACCATTCTGAATCACAGGTAACAAATAAACTAATCTGAATCACAGGTAACACATAAACCAATCTGAATCACAGGTAACACATAAACCATTCTGAATCACAGGTAACACATAAACCAATCTGAATCACAGGTAACACATAAACCAATCCAAATCACACGTAACACATAAACCAATCTGAATCATAGGTAACACATAAACCATTCTGAATCACAGGTAACACATAAACCAATCCGAATCACAGGTAACACATAAACCTACCTGAATCACAGGTAACACATAAACCATTCTGAATCACAGGTAACACATAAACCTACCTGAATCACAGGTAACACATAAACCTACCTGAATCACAGGTAACACATAAACCCAACTGAATCACAGGCAACACATAAACCTTCCTGAATCACGGGTAACACATAAACCAATCCGAATCACAGGTAACACATAAACCAATCTGAATCACAGGTAACACATACACCTATCCCAATCACAGGTAACAAATATTAACAACAGCCAACAATGCAAAAAAATTCCCCAAGTAGTGGTAAGAAATTGTTCGAATTCTGATTTTTGCGAAATATGGGGTTGCTAAGTCAGTAAAACAGGTAAGATGCTGTTACAATGATTATAAACATGTGATTTTATTTGGTCATGTTTGTCTTCAATTTTACACATAACCCAAAATCTATCACATAGAAACCTGAGTTCAAAACATTATTCCATCTTCCCGAGGCAAGAGAGTTAACTGACTTTAAAAGTCCAGTTTCCACCCTTGCCGAACTAGGCTGGAATTCCTTGGCTCGATCGTAGCACTACCAGTGGCTGTTACAAGTTATGTCCCTTCTATAACTCTCCTATGGACCAATCAGATTCCACATCTCGTGTCACTTGCATTTGCTTCAAACAAAATGGCAGCACCCAGTCAGGATGATCTGATTGACAATCAAAATCTATATTGTGATAAAACGGGTCTTACATCGCGAAGTGCATCAAATCACGTGAGCACCTTGATGAAAAACTTGAAAAGATTTTGGAAAATATCTGCTGACAACGATTTGGCGGTGCACATGCTTTGAAAATCCTGCAATAGCCCATTTTCTGCATGACAGTTTACAAACCGGATTTTGATTTTGGTGCGCGATTTTGATTGGACTATGCATAGACTCGTTAGTCCAGCCAAAATCTTACTCCATAATACCAGCCTAGATTGGCAAGGGTGGAAACAGGACTTTTAAAGTCAGTTAACTCTCTTGCCTTGGGAAGAAGCATTTATAAGGTGTTATTAGTTAATCATTATTTCTCCTAATGGTACTCATGTTTGACATTTAGATGAAAAGATGACAAAGGAAGAGTTTTCCAAATTGATAAAAGACAAGTCTGGTTTCTATCGACAATAGTATTTGGATATCATTTCAGTGGTTTTGCTTTTAATATTTCAGTGGCAATCCTGGCATCAGGTTATCATGTTAATAATGACATAGATATTTCTTTGTTGCATTAATTCAACAAAATATGACAATACTATATTCATACCGTCAAAAGAAACATATCACAATATCTCAGCCCAACTACTGAAATTATTTGGATAAAATTCAAAGAAATGAATTACCAGTACTGTGGTCTTATATATTTATGTAGAATTTCATTAAACAAAGATAGGTACGCCATAAATCACAAAGAACAATGAAGAAAAAAGTGTGGTTTATTTCACGATAAAACATTGTTCTCTCATGACGTCATTTCGGGAGATTCATCATGCACCTGCAACTTGATGACGTTGTTAATTGGACAACATTATTTTTGAGAGGGAAGTGTCTAGTGAGTTGCAGAGTCCAAAACGATTGCTTCAAAAGGTGGGAGAGATATGACAATCAGTATTGGGAGAAAAGACACAAATAATTGACGTGAAAATTGTGAAAATATGTGTGAAAGACATTACCGCGGTCGAATTCTATTCAGGGAGTCGTCATTATTTGAATGCAGGTAAATATTTTTATTGCATGTACTGTTTATTAACATCCTTAAATAGATTATAAGAGAAATAAACGATGAGTGGGAGTTGTTTATAGACAATAAAACACTACAAGGTGAATAAACCATAAAACAACCTATTGAAGTCATACTGTGCTTGTGGTGACATCAGTTACCTAAGAACTCCAGCACAACAGAGGATGTTGCAACTTTTGGAACTGTTGCCAGGAATTTGAGGAAGTGTTCCAGATCCCCACGGCGGCTTCTAGCAACGACATCATTCATGAGAAGAACCTTCTTGGGAAGTGGAGGGAAAACGGTGCCAGAGAACTTCTCATTCAATTTGTTGTACAAGTCCTCAAAGTCATTAAACTTTCTCTCAACCTACAAACATATACAATCAGCATGTCAATATGCATGGCTTTTTTTTTAATTTAAGAGGCTCTGAACTCGAAGGCAATTAAGAAAATATCTTCTTGAGATTTTATCATATTACAAATGTATTATAGGTAGAAATGTCTGTACAACTTTGAATAGGAAAAAGTGAACTTTTCGACACACATTTTAAATCATGCTCATTAAAACATATCACACTTTTTGTCTTTGGGAATACAGCAGTAGTCAAAAGGTAGTCCAGCAGTCGTTCCACTGCAAACACCAAATTGTAGGGTGTGCTTATTTCAGAACCCTTCTTGGTAGCCATATATGGATTTATCTAGACTTGCTCAGCCAAAGCAGCCAATGTCACAGTACCATTCCCATATTAGAATTACAAATTTCCAAATTCATGTAGTTATAGTTATAACCAGTGATAACCAATGTTATGGCTCTGTAGAGGTGACTTGTATTTCACTAATGACAGAACAAATAAAGTGCATCGAAAAGACTGTAGTGCATATTTTTACACTATTGCAATGAATGCAATGTTAAAATACATCCTAATTTGAGAAAATAAAAACCTAAACAATAATTTCCAATTTTGAAACAAATGATCAGTCTTTTCCAAGTTTAGAAACCTAGATATATCCCTTCCATGTAACACACTTTTGTTTATTAGATTTAGGGATTTGATGAATACAAAACAAATGTCCTCATAATCAGTGTTTTGCAGCTATAAGCTATTTGATCTGGCCTAATATATAAAAAGACACTTTACAAATATCAAATTGCATCTTTTGCTAAATATAAAATTCACATCTGTGATAACATTTATATTTTGTCAATCTGTGTTTTAATCCAAATCTCTTCCCTACTACATGTATATAAATCTGTGTCAAGCCCAATGTACATACAATTACCTACCATAAATTGCACAGTGTCAGATTCCTTGTGCTTTGGGGATTTGAAGAAAGTTAGATTGGAAACTGCAACAACTTGATAAATATATGTTGATGACAGTAACCCTGGGATATGCTTGAATGTGGGCACTGTCAGATCAATCCCTGTGTCCTTGTTCTTCACGTCCCTGCATCAACAACACATTGATTTACAGCATCATCAACTGTAGTGTTATGGTATATACAGGGATGTTGGTGAGGAAAATACATAGAAACACACACAAAACATTGCGTCATTAAACAATGAAAATGCATGTTCATCAACGCTAGACAAGATAACAAACCAACTATACCTCTAAAGACCCTAACAACAGTCTACTTTCATCATACAACTTTACCCATTTTCATTTAGATTAAACTTTTATCGCATAAAAAGGATTTACTATACATCTGATCATAGAATATGTGTCTATGCTATATTATTCGCCATCTAAATAGAATCAGTTGATATTATCCTAACATGTGTTTTTGGTTTATTGATACTAAATCAATTACGTTTCATTTCATTATTCAAAATTAAAGCTTTATCTCATTAATAATTTTGATAAATACATTTGCTGACCACTGGGTGACCAGCTGGTGACAGTCATTATTAATTATGACGGCATTTTAAAACCAATCATAGTGGTCAGCAGAAGTGTGCACTCCAAGTGTGCTACCTGACAGTAACTGTTGCAGTCGGCATGGTTAACTCCTAGTCGTCTTGTGAACTGCAAATAGCTACATCCGTTTATTGGCCTTCTTTTCAACGTTTACTATATACTTATGCTAACACGCCCACATTTCAGGACAACCGCCATTTTGAACATCATGTGACACGTAAGCTCCCTACAGCGGTTTGCTTGTGGTAACCGTGCCAGAAGTTTAAGACAGCATAGGTTGCATACTCTAACAAATATCAAACAGATTTGGCATAATACCCAAAGCGGAAGAATACAAATAATACCACGCACATGTCCAATAGATGCCCTTGAAATCAATTATGTGAGGATGCGTAAATATTCATATAAAGCAGGACAGAAGACCTTTTTATACATTGACTCGCTAATATCATTTATTTACTTTGGCTAAAGGAACATCATATTAAGGCTGCAAGAAAAATACAATGATAATTTAATATTTCAAATAAAATTATCTACAGAAAATTTACTAAACGTTTGAACACTGAAACTGTCATGCAGCTACGAAATATAACAAACAACTGAACAAAGATACGGGGCCGCCATTACACGGCATGTGTTGATACGTGATCATCCGTGTGACAGCAGAGACGATATAATAGATCTGTTATATGATCTCTGGTGACAGATTTCGAGGAAATCATGCCGGGATAACGAATGCATAAATTGTAACATCTTTATGTAAAAAAAATTATCGCTTAGAGACTTGGCTTGAACCAAGTGAGTTTAAGTTTAGCTTGTAAAAAAAAGTCTTATATTGGCTCTTGTGAAACTGACATATGGTCTCTATGCAAGCGCTGATACAGGGTTTTTTTAAAAGGGGGTTGCATTTCATTTACATGACATCCATGGTAAGCACGTGTGTTGCCATTCAGTGTTAGACAGTCAGGTAAAAGCCAGAGCAAATAGACCCCTTTAAGTACACTCATAAGCCAACTGTAGATTTAAACACTTTACACACGTCGCTCCAAGTAACAGTTTCTTGGTCTGCTAGTTCAAATTTTAGGATGATCGCCAATTTACCAGTTAATGGCAACCCTAATTACACAGAGATGATATCAAAGTTCCACATAGTATTAATGACAATGTCTAGGCCTCGGTACAAAATGGGTACCAGGCAGTGAAGCATTCTCTCCCTTTCACGGCGTTGGCGTGTATGTTTTTGTAAATGATAATCATCACCTGCCAAACAATAGACACAGTTCAGTCACAGTTGTCCATGACAGGAATTTAAATGAAAAACGGGATCGGGTGGCCAGGCTCGCTGATTTGGCTGATTCATGTCATCATATCTCATGATGTCAATCACTGGATTGTCGGGTGGAGACTCGATTATTTACAGACCGCCTTCATATAGCTGGAATATTGATGAGTGCGGCGTTACACAACAAACGAACATACAAACAAATATCGATAATAACGATGTTGGCCGTTTACGAGCGCTTCCAGTGGAGACGATTTTCTGGGAATCTGGGAAATCAGCTATGGGCGGACAAACAAGCATCGGCATATACCTCGTCACATGACCAATCCTTTTCTCGGTCCGTGACCCGACCTCACTTCAATTAATCGCCCACCCTCTCTGGTACAACGTTCGCGATTGTCTGTTTTTGTTAATGATAATCATATAATACCGTTCTGGTTTTTTTGTTACAGGAAAAATTCACAATTCAGATCTGACTTGGGTGCGATGCTAAAAGTATCCATGCAACATAGTAAACAATATGGGCGAGAAGTTCTTTAGCTAGCATGCAGAATAGGGGTTCATTACCTGCAATATAGGGTCAATTGTTTTGTGTGGTTCTGTTTGCAGTTAATGAGGATACTCAGGCGATATCTCAATATCTCTGCCCACATTGGGGGCTGGATGGCAGAGTTGCGTCCCTTGGGCATGCCAGAAACCTATGTGGGTTCGAATACCGATTTGCCCCGATTATGTTTCCAGATAACTCCTATGTTTAACTGAAACGTCGTCATATAAGTGGTATATGCCCAACTCCCTCTCCTCACAGACAATGACTGTGGATCTTGGTCGTAAAGTTGGAAGTATGTTATCCATGTACGAAAATCAGTAACTTGACACAAGTGTCAATATGTAATCCGTTATAATGGCACAGGTAGACAGATTCAGTAAACAATTGATGCGTTATTCAAGTTTCACACTAAGATTGAGCGTACGCGAAAAACGCCGAATACACCCATATATTGATGTAAAAAATATATTGATGTAAAAATGAGGGAATAGTGTTGCAGTATCGTTTGTTTGACCAGACATTCCACAATGACCCTTGAGAATGCTCTTTTAGGGCTGGGACGAGTCCAAATTTACTACCCCCTATTACCCGACCCTACCCGGGAACCCACTGCAAGTCTCAAGAGTAAGGAACAAAATGTCTGATTGGCTAAAACTATTCAGATACATGTATCATACAATCAGATCATGCGTTCACTGAAGTTGACTGAAGCGTTATCTTTACTCAAACATATACAAGTCAAAAGAAATGTGTGCATCGTCAGAAGGAAATGCGAACATTAGCGACTTGTAGTGTAACCACTGAGCTACAATAACACTTTCTATACCAATAGGAGATGTGCAGGGAGAAGTTTGATTTCAATGTGGATTTTCTGAAATAATACAGCTATTTTTCATGTTTTGACTTAGCACGTTTTTACTTAAAGGGCAAGTTCACACGCAAATGAACCTTTTTTTCTTGTACTTTTTCCACATTAAAAGTGTTAACATAGAAGTGTCATAGACAAAAATATAAAAACATCATATTTAATTAACATATTTTTTGCATTAAAACGATTTATATTTTTCACATTAACCAAGTGTTCTATTTCCATAACAAAAACACCATGGCTTATGCCCCTTGCAATATGACGTCATTGGTGCCAATTGATAAACATTATGACGTCATCATGCTTCGTTAGAGCCGCTTCACGTGGTGAAGGTACAGTTTTGTGATTCTAGCGTCTCAGATGCCAGCCAGAATTGTGTTATGCTGACTCACCACTGCGCCGGAGTGTGTCGTAGACCATGTTGTTTTACCGCAAACTGGTCCTTGATATCTTTTGCGTTGAGAATAGACAGGGACCCGGTTGAATTGGCACCAATTACGTCATAATCTAAGGGGGATAACTCAGGCCTATTTCGCTCGTAAAACGAAGGCCTCACGACGGCATATTATTTTAACACTATTGTGAGCTTCCTACTTTCACTGTGAAAAAAAATGAGTGTATATTTTCAAACACAGATACTAACTAATTCTAAAATTGCGTTTTGTTTAGAAAAAGAAAGAAAGTGATTTTTGCGTGTACACTTCCCCTTTAAACATTTGTGCGACCTATAACTTGAACACAACCGCAAGGATTCTTTTGAAATTTAGGAACCTTTTCCATACTAAGAGAAGAGGTGCAGTACAGATTGATTTTGACAGGTGGATTTTCTGAAAATATATATGATATTTTACATGTTTTAAAATATTATTTTTTACTCCCAACATTTTTGCGACCTTTAACTTGAAAACTTCTTCATGGATTCTTTTCAAATTTAAGGAACACTTTCTATACTTATAGGAGAGATGCAGTGCAAGTTTGATTTTGATAAGTGTATTTTCTGGGAAAAAAATAAAATGTTTTAGGTGTTTTTTTTTAATTCAACATTTGTGCGACCTATAACTTGAAAACAACTTCATGGATTCTTTTCCAATAGGTGGGGTGCAGGGAAAAGTTTGATTTTGAGATTTCTGAGAAAATACTGCTTTTTTTCATGTTTTGAACTTAGAAATATGTTGTCAGTCGAGGTTGGGGGCATTAGTGAGCCCTGTTTCCAGTGCACTGGATTGACTGGTCCAGACTCGAGTATTTACAGACCGCAGTCATATAGCTGGAATATTGATGCGTGGGGCGTTAAACAACAAACTGCTTGACATCATTTTACGTTCGCTTCAAACAACTATACGCTCGTCTTTAAATGCGCATTAACTATCCAGATAATTTAATTCTGTTAAAAATGTTTTGAGAATAAAGTTTTCAGGAGCAGTGTTTGTTTGTGCATAATCATGAAATTATCTTCAAACTGGAGGCATATTCCAAGATCATATCTATACTTTACTTCCTAGTATGACAAATCTAGTAAAAACAGAGGCATTTTGTTCAAGATCATAACAGATAACAGCACGAGTATGGATTTATGCCACTTTCAGCAATATTCCAGCAATATCATGTAGGGGGACACCAGAAATGGGCTTCACACAGTGTACCCATGTGGGGAATCGAACTGGGTCTTTGGCGTGACAAGCAAGTGTTTGAACCACGAGGCTACCCCACATGGGGAATCGAACTCGGTCTTTGGCGTGATGAGCAAAGGCTTTAAACACTAGGCTACCCCACACTCTTTGAGAATAGGAGAGCCAAATCCAGTTTCATCATCCTACAATATGTCACCAAGTCTGGGATACCACTGATGTGGTGTTCTTGGCTGTTCATTGATGAAAGAGTGTTTGTTGATACCTTTTTAGGTGAAGGAGAAACACAAACTCAAATTCTCTTGTCATGTTTTATTTATTTCATGATCTGCTATAAGCCCAATCATCAATGAAAATATCAGACCAATTGCAGATAAGGAACTATTAACACACATATACACTATCTTCTTCCGTTCTTCATAGTGAACACACTGTGTTCATCCACTGTTTATGTTCATGTGAAAAATTGTCTATGGGAAACAAAAATCACTTTTTAGCCCATTCTGCCTTTTCTTGTATTTCAGCCACCACTTCATCCAAATAGGGCTTCAAGTAACGAACATCCTGAAGTGGTAAACATGTACATGAATAGAAACATTTGTGAGAGAGAGCATTGGCCAACATCACTTTTAGGATATTCCATTTCGAACAATATTAAGACTGGAAACAAAAAGAATGGGCTTCACACATTAAACAGTGTTAGTATGTCCAGTGCACACTTTAACCTCAAGACTACCTCTACACAAATCTGCTGGGGCACAAGCAGCTAGCAAAGGTATCGTAAGTCTCCATCGTCCCAAGCACTGTGGCCTAACATTGGTTGCTGGAGACGTAAAGCCTAATGTCTATATTTGTGGTGTTATAGCTTGATCTTGATTAGTTCATAAAATAAATACATTTTTTGAGTAATACAAACAGTCTGCCATTTATCTGTCTAGTACTCTCAGATATTGTTAGCCCATAGCACTAGACAAACTAGTCGTACACAATGAAGATATTACATATAATCATCACAATACAGCTGAAATAATGCTCTGACCTTTAATCATAACTCAAATCAAAGTTAAAATCGTCACCCCTAGCTTCATCATCTAGCTGCCTTGACCTCACCTCCTCATATTTCTGCCACTCGTCCTTGGGCAAAATATCTTTCTTGTTTGAAAGGTTGAGTGCACGGGAGATGCGAAACTGGCGGGAATCATACACATCCCTAGGGAGGCGACGAAGGGCTTCTTTAACATTTGGTGTCTCGTTAAGTATGTCATCCCGCATCAGACCTGCATGTACAGCATGAAATAACATACTTGGATAATTCAACTGTTAAGTTCAAGCATCAATATCCATTAGTAAATGTGACCTTCCATGGATACTAAATATAGATAGAATACCAAGGAAATGGGGTTTAACATCCCCCCCAAGATTATTGCTCTTATACAGCGATGTGCATGCACGTGTGTGTGGCTGCTTGTACTAGTCCAGGCTCCATAGTGCTAGCCCATTGAAATACAATGCTGCAGTTTAACATGAATACCCCACTCAAACACAATATAGCATGGTATGCTATATTATCACGGTAGTTCTTTTCATTATAGATTGTAATGGCGCATGCTTATTAACCTATTTAATATGTCATATGCAAAATGTTTCTTGTTCTTTGTTGAACTTTGATGACACATCAATTAGGATTGATCGATGCTGATTTTCTTTACTGGGTTTGGTAAATATACCTGTCATTAGCAAATCGAGGGTGGGCAAATCCATATTATTGTGGCATGTCTATTTTGTATTATGATACGAGTGGAATATGTGCTTTACATCACTTCCTGCTTTGGATTATGCATAATCAGTATACATATGACCTAGGTTGGGTCAAGGGATTTCGTCCAAACAAATGGGTTCTTTTCTCATCAATTTCGAATGGCGATAGGGGTAATTCCACTTCAAAAACATTCCAGAAACAATCATAAAAAAGTTAACATGTATACTTAAGAGTAGCTGTGACATACCACAACGAGTCCTGCATTTGATCAAGTGATGAAATATCGTGCTTAGATTTCCATAAGTAAACAGTCGACAGAGGGTGCGAATTACGAGATTTACCGATACCCCGATAATATAGAGCATGTGTTAATATAGAGTCATACTACATACTGATTCCTTGTTTTAGCCCCTTAATGTAAGGCACCAGACAAGGTAACAACAAGTACCATATTTTAACGTCTTTTGGTATGACGTGGCTCTCTGGGCAGATGTTCTACCACTAGACCATGGAGGCAGTCTATAATACCAAGAGGACAGAGTAATCTATATTCCCACCATCCGTGCATGCTTATAGTAGTAAACAAATAGATCTTACCTCTGTAAATATGAAAGGCACCAGTCCTATCTAGTCTAATACCAAAATTTCATGGACAATAATGAAAAGTTTGGCACCAGAAAAAAAGACAACCCTTATTCGAATTTGTGAAGTTGGAAAAGCAAATGATAAAAGTTGTAAAATTAAACTTTCCTTTTCAGGTTTTTGAACTCAAACACGAGTTTGCCACTAACGTTGCTACATGTATATCCCCCGCCCCTGTTGCAGAATTTATGCCATAATTAAATCTAAACAAACCTTAACCTTTTTTAACCAAGGTGGAACTTGTCATGGAAATTTAAAAAAAAAGAAGAGGTTGCCACTAACGTGGCCAAGTCTCCTGCCCAGCAAATGAAGTGTATATTATGTCAACAATAGTGAAATTTGATCACACAAACACATACATTTGAAAATATTCAAAATTTTGTAAGGAATAAAAGGCATCAGGGGAGCGGAAGAAACAAAATATGCTGCTGAGTTTTTGGCATTTAAAAGAAGAATTAATAAATTTCTAAAAGTTCAACTTGTTGCCATGAAAAAATAAAAAAAATATGAATGATCTATTTTAAATAGTAAAAGGCACCAGTTGAGAATGTACCTGACAGACCTGCAAAGTTTGAACAGTTTATGAGTTATGCTCCGGAAACGAACCCTACCTTCATAGAACCTAAGTCCATCTTGTTGCCATGGAAACGTGAAAAATAACAAATTCTAAAATTTCTAAATAGCAAAAGGCACCAGTTCAGCATGTACCTGACAGACAAGCAAAGTTTCATGAAAAAATATTTAACGTTTTATGAGTTATGTTCCGGAAACGAACCCTACCCTCACAGAACCTAGGTCCATCATGTTGCCATGGAAACCACAAAAAAATAATAAAAATTCTAAATAGCAAAAGGCACCAGTTCAGCATGTACCTGACAGACATGCAAAGTTTCATGAAAAAATATTCAATGGTTTCTGAGTTATGCTCCGGAAACGAAACGTGACGGACGGACATACGGACTGAGCCCGTTTCTATATCCCCCGCCAACTTTGTTGGGCGGGGGATTATAACATATTTATCGCTTAAAGTATGCAAAATTTTATCCTTGTATCCATAGCCAAAGGCGGACAGAACCCATGCCTATATCCACTGTCGCATTTGTGGCAGAGGATATTAATAATTCTATTGTGCCCACGAAGCTTCTTAATCATTTTCATCACAAAGACCTTGTAATGTTATCAGGATAATCCTAATAGCATTAACATTCAATCAAAAGAGAGAAGTAACAATTGTTTCCCAGTTTGGCTGCCATGAACACTTACTCTGGAATGCTACTCCCTGATCAGTGTTTGAAATATACAGGGTCTTGGGCTCCTTGATGCTTGCTCCTATACTATTCCAATCTTGGCAACCCATATATAGTTAATTTAACATTAGGCCCATGTCAAACCCTAGAATTGTGTGCTGCAGTGTTGATTCTACATACTGATTAGGGATACACAATTCAGGAACAGCTTCAGACAAGTTTGAATTGTTCTCAAGACAGTTCATCATCACAGATAACATGATGACCATTGCTAATTGGGATTGGAATATAAATAATTCTGTTACATCTTAGTATTCATTACCTAGCTGTGGGAAGTATGACAGACCATATGCCCACTTGGCCAGTGATTTTCTCCAAGCAGGGACTGAAAATACAACAAAATTATGTCAATAATGTTAATAATCTTCATGATAGAGTATGAATGATAAGGTGACTTGCCACCACTTGATGACCACTGTTTGAATCTATGTAATACATCCAGCTGAACACATTCTTGAGTATGTTTTGTATAGATGGTAAATCAGCTGTGATCTATGGATCAAATCTTTGATAGGCATTTAGAAGTTGGAGTACTAAGTAAGGATAAGAATTTATGGAGGAATAACTTCTTTATTACCATGATTACAATTAAGAGCTTCTCTACTCCAGTATAGCAATATCTACTCTACTGTATAAACATTGCCTCCTATATATACTTGCCAACCACACGCTGTATATCACTTGCTTGATAACGGTGTTAGAACCTACACCGAAACGTCGCTCTTAATTGTAATAAAGAAGTTGTTCATCCATAAATTCTTAACCTTACTTATCTATGGATCATATTTACAAAATGTATGAAAACAAGAAAATTAACCACTGCCATATGTGTAATTAGTAGTGGGACGACACACAATTTTTTACTTCTCGGTACAAGTCTCGATCACAGTTGCTCACTAAGTAAAAAATATCGATACTTGCCTTAAATGTTTGTTCTAATAACTGTTACACCAAACACTAATTAGTAGTGAAAATTAGTACTGAAAACATAAATATTTTCATCCACTGCGCCATATTTGACAATGCCAACAGAAAATTGTCAGTATGCTAGGTATTTGGCAACAATGACTATGAAAAAGATGGCTTACACACCATTGATAAGAACACAAGCAAGTATAGTGATACATATTGGAACGTGAGCAAGGTATCATGATACTATTGGATCGCACAGTTGGTGTATTGTCCCGGTCCTAGTAGTTATAGAGGTATGCTGCTTAAGTCCTCATTCAAGCAAAGTGGACAAACAACAGGTCACCAACCAGTTATAATTTTTGTCTTGTTATTTCTGAAAGCTTAAAAGAATGTTTTGATTTGTGTCCTGTGTTCTCGGAACATATTGGCTGGCAATCAGACAAATTGAGACAATGTCCTAAAAATGAACCAATATGACACTCTGCATTCATAATTAAAAGAAATGTCTTTATTAAAAGATCTACACATGCTTATTTGAAGTACTAATTACTTGCAGTCTGGGACAAAACCTTTTAGTCTGCTAACCCGAATATGGCTCTAAGAATCATTCACAGTAGAGTTTAGTGTTATCATATCAACTGTTATTGGCCAACCTTACTAGACTGTAGGGCTGGGATGAGTCCAAATTTAACACCCGGGTATCCGACACCCTTTTACCCAGCCCTACCCTCGTACCCGCTACAGGAAAGAGTTGGGTACAAAATGTCCGAATGGATATCGTTTTACCACAGCCCTGGCAAAAAGTATACAGATACACATATAAAATAATCTCATCATGCATACACTGAACCTTTTTCATTACTTAATCATATATAAATTAGAAGGAACGTGTGCATAGTCAGAAAGAAATGCAAACATTAGCGACTTAGAGTGTAACCATGGAGTTTTATTGTTATTGTCATTAAACAACATATCCACGTGACTAACCACGGGTCCAGGTACTCAGGACCCACAAGAGTTACCCGTCCCAGTACTTATTTACTGCAGTGTTAGAAATAAAAAAGAGTGCCTGGCTTCAATCAGGACCCACACACTTTAAGAGATGCAGGCTCTGACTAAACTCTCCAGGCCCTCTTTTAGAAAACTGCAGCTCATTGTGACAAATAAATCGACATGTAAATTTACTGCAGGCCATAAGGACTTATACAAATTTGAAACTATGGGCCCGACACAAGATATACTTACCATGGGCAGACCCTTATTTCAAACACTCATAGACTGAACAGAATGTTACTTGACTCAGGCTAAAGTCACAGACTGGGTATGGCCATGGACTGGTAGATATATCCCTTCTGGTTAATCGGACAGATTCCTTCATACGAGTGCATGCCATTTCTACCTCTATTATATAATTTATATTTGTATAATTTCAGGACAAGATTAAACACAGGACCATGTTACTAATATTATTTACACTAACTAACTCGCAGACGGTTACATGGTTATACAAGTTCTATAAAGGATATCTTATTTGTCAGTTGCATGCTTGTCTGAAGGGCAAGAGTTAATTTCGTTCGGCCATCTCATTTGATACTAATATATCTTGACACCGTCGAATCGGAGAATCAAAGAACATCCTTCCCTGAACTAGCATAACTCTTAAATCGAGTAATACAAAGATAGATTCGCCTACACTACTCACAGAAATCGTGTTGATTTGTTATCCAACACATTAGTTTGTCGAGCAACACCAACTAGCGATAACTTCCCATTGCTCTTAAACTCTTTAAATGTGTCATTACTTCCATCCCCCTTTATCAAAGTAACCGATAACCATTTACTGATGGCTAATAAAGAATTAATTGCGAATTACAGTCTAACCTTCTGCGACAACACGCCTGGCAGCCATAGTTAGTTGTTACCGACCGACCTTCAGAACTGACCTTGCTTACATTCCGAATAATATCGTATGTTTCCGCCTTCCTCCGTTTAACTTCGGAAATTAGAGCCTACTCGTTTCTTCTCGGCACATGAAGGCATTCGTCACACCTCGATTCTTTCCGCAACCTAACGTGGCAAACCAGCTTATCAAAACATATGAGGCTAAACAAACTAAATTTTAATGTAATTAATTTCAAATACCTCTGTCAAACAATAGCTCATTGCCATTTTAGCAGCAAACAGAACATGGTCTAACTTGTTTATATGATTCTATTTATGACATTTTGAATATTCACGAAAGGATTTGGGTGGACGTTCACAAGTGCGCATGCAGCGCATGTGAAAACAAAACAAATGAAAGATGCTAAATTGTGACTCTATCTTTATTATTCATAATCTCAAGGATTTTTTTTAATTATGAGCAAGGACACGTTTGTGAAGTAAAGATACAAATTTCCCCATCGTATCTCGACGTTTCGATACCGAAATGCTGGTTTCAAATCATAGATATAACTATGGACACTTCCATATTTTGGGTCCATGATATAACTGGAGGGATATCACTTTATTTGTCATTTTACACAACATGCCCGGGGGAATATGTCATTGTCATTCTTTGTTGTCAGCACCATACGCAGCCTACGTCATATTGTACAAGCTGACAGGCGCGTGAAGATCCGGGGTAGAATAGGTCTTCAGCAACCCTTGCTTGCCGTAAAAGGCGACTAACGGGATCGGGTGGTCAGGCTCGCTGACTTGGTTGATGCATGTCATCGTATCCCAATTGCGTGGATCGATGCGCATGTTGTCAATCACTGGATTGTCTGATCCAGACTCGATTATTTACAGACCGCTGTCATCTAGCTGGAATATTGGTGAGTGCGGCGTTAAACAACAAACAAACAAACAAGCTGACACGCCGTGATGTAACTGAAATACTGCTCGAGTTATCTACCTTTCGCTATTTTATTAACCTGGTTGGTTCATGAGCAGAGACTCAAAATGGCTGACAGTTTTCAACAACTGACATGTTGGACATTATAAGTGAATGTGTCACTCTTCAGATGGACGGGAGATTCTGATGTGTGACCTTGACTTTCGCAACACGTGCATGGTACAATCAACGTCATGTAAGCACTTTGGGAAAAAGCCATTAATTTTATTTTAACACCTAAAGCAACATGTTATCATGAGTGTGTGTGTGTGTGTGTGTGTGTGTGTGTGTGTGTGTGTGTGTGTGCTTTCCTAACCTTAGTATGATACACACAACTAAAATAATATCTTTATCATCCACGCTTGATAATTAGCTATAGTAAAGATTATAGAGTGTAATGGTTTATCTACCTATCGATGTATCGCAATAGTTCATAGCCGGTGTCACCCTCTACCCCCGATATATATTCTTATTGCAAACAACTGCGTGTATTACAGTACATGCAAACCTATCATGGGCTTTTGTTCACGTTTTGACTTTGCGCTCCCCCATAACACTGGTAACATGACGTCAACAGTGGTCGACACAGATAATATTATACGAGCCTGTGTGTCATACTGATTTTACGAAACGAGTTTCAGAATTCATATATTTCCCTAGCGAGAGAGAGCTCGCGGGTTATACATGAATTCTTACACTAGTTTCATAAAATCCGTTATAATCCGTTAATTATCTATCCTTCTAAGCTCCCCTTCAGATGCACTGATTCACGACCGCCGTCTTAGAAAACCACAATTGTCGACAGACGTCAACAATCTATGACGTCGTTTCTAGTGTGACGGCATTCCGACCTTGCGTCTCAATAAGGTTCGAATGACGTCAACAATGCCGTCCGGATGACGTAAACAATACTTGTGCGCGTGAAGTGATATTTGCCCAAGTGCACTCACGAATTTTGATATCAAAAGACAGATTTTATTTATCATCCAACATCATTCTTACAACTGTTTCAGTTTGTAGACAGTAACAAGCAGTGTCTTAGTGTAAAAAGTACTGCTAACGGCTTTAGTAGCAGAGCTATTAGTGTTAGCATTTGATTGTGACGTCATGTAATAATGACGTCACAATGGTCTGCAATATCTCCTGTGGGAGCCAGGGATGATAAATGACATTATCGTCTACCGTGACGTCACGACACTTTACGTCAACAATGACGACTATATCAGGGTGCGTGTAATTATTATTCTACCATAATGTAACATCAACTGCTGCCATATCACTAATCATTTTGGCGATCATTTCTCTTTGTTCGATCCCATATTCCCGTGTATTAAATCTTTTCAAATTCGAAACTTCACGCTATCGCGGTCAGGTTTCGATAGAAATTACAGGTATCGAATCTACGTTCCAAACCTCTATATTGACAACACCGTAGGTTTTTTTCATAATTGCACGTTTGCTTCTATTATCGCTTCTCGGAAATAATAAATAAATACTTTCTATGGAAGGGAAAAAACTCGCTCCATATTTTTACACGTAGTTCCGCAATTACAAATTCCTTCGGTTTGCCGTGCAAGGCATGACGTTTATGACACAGAAGATGTAACCCTCCAAATATAGAATCATGATTAATATAAAGCACTTTTGATTCATGACTGATTCATACACTGTTTTCTTGATTTCTCATGACGCATGTTCTAATCAAGTCATATCCGCCTCAAACAAACGGGACATGGCAAACATCGAATGACGTTTACATATATCTCCGTCCTCCAAGATCACGTGTCACATTATACACGAGGCCCTATTCCGTCACAAAATACTAAACATAAAAACACAATCTTACCGCTTTTACCCCATTTGGCATTGTTAAAATAACCCGCATAAAGTCGTGTAGTGACATTTGAAAAATGTCGAATACCTTTCTTTTGAACGAGTTAGGATACAAAAATACAATACCTCCACCCTTACTGGACCTGTGTCAGAAGAAGACAAAACATCGACCTACGACTTCGTTGACGGGTTTACGAGGTTGTCATGGCGCTGCTGTGGCACACGATGACGTTCTCCTGCCTGACCTCGTGCTCCTGCAGTGCGCAGCTGCCACTGCCACTGCCGTTACGAGCACACAACGTTAGCCTGCAGGGAGGGTTCGGATGGGTCTGTTACCAATACTTATCGGTCTGGTCGTACTCCAGGTGACCTGGCTAGGATTCAGTGATGGTAAGTGCTTATGTATTGTATGTATTATGGTAAGCTACTTTGATTTGCAAGTGACAGACAACATTTCTCGTGGCCCTTTCTTTTATAGAAAAAAACAATCAATTCGAAACAAAAATATAATTTCGATCATTTTTTTAATGAATTTGTCTTTGCATGATGTTTTTGTTTTTCATTTGTCTGAGAACATCAGACCCCTTTAACAACATATATAGCTTTAGCGGTGACTGGTCATTGTCGATAAGAAAAAGATGTATCAGTTTTTGAAATTAAAAACTCCGAAAGGAACAGGAAAATTAAAAATGTTTTAACGAAGCTGATATATAAGTGTATATTATATGGTACTTTATTATTATTATAGAAGATATGCATCTTCCCGAGGCAAGGGAGTTAACTGACTGTAAAAGTCCAGTTTCCACCCTTGCCGAACTAGGCTGCAATCATGGAGTTACATTTTGGCTGGACTAACGAGTCTATGCATAGTCCAATCAAAATAGCGTAACTAGCCACCCGGTTCGTAAACGCCATGGATTTTAACGTACATATTTCGGTCGACTGCAGGATTTGCAAAGCATATGTACCCAGCTGGGCGTCGACAGATATTTTGCAAATTCGTTCATGTTTTTAATCAAGACCCGTTTATTACAATACGAATGTTGACTATCGAGCAGATCGTCTTGACTGGGCCGTTTTGTTTGCAGCTAATGTAAGTGATATGAGAGATAGAATCTGATTTGTCAATAGGAAGAACATAGAAGGGACATAACTCGTAATAGCCACCGGTGGCGCAACGATCGAGCCTGGAAATTCCTACCTAGTTCGGCAAGGGTGGAAACTGGACTTTTATAGTCAGTTAACGCCCTTGCCTAGGGAAGATGGAAAATATGTGGCGTCATTAATATTTGCTTTTAATGACGCGGCATATGTTGATCAATTTCATATATATACGCTGATTTAATTTGGCAGATTTGGTTTAGGAAACAGGTGCACCTATTGTCGTCTATCGTCAAATGACGTCATTTACCTATATTATATCTGAAAACATATATGAAATTGATTTAAATCACCCTGACCTTTTATCCATGTACTAGGCCTTTCGGTAAACCCTGGGGCGGCCGGGTAGCCTAGTGGTTAAAGCGTTCGCTCGTCACGCCGAAGACCCGGGTTCGATTCCCAACATGGGTACAATGTGTGAAGCCCATTTCTGGTGTCCCCCGCCGTGATATTGCTGGAATATTGCTAAAAGCGACATAAAACAATACTCACTCACTCACTTCAGTAAACCCGTGTGGACCAGGGTAATATGAGTAACCAACCTATGCCAATTGCGTCGGTCGATGCTCCTGATATCAATCACTGGATTGCCTGGTCCAGACTCAACTATTTACAGACCGACGTCATAAATATAGCTGAAATATTGCTAACTCACAAATTCACCTTTCCTTAAAATGCACTTTTTCTATCCAAAATAGGAGCTGCCCTGTCCACAATCCAATACCATAGACCTCATGGCCCCGTTGCTGGGGCCCGAGTCGGGGCAGCAGCAAGTGGCGGTATACCCCCCGTAAAACCACTGCCCAGAAAAAGTGGACCTACATCTACGCCCGCCACTGCAAAAGCCCCAACTCCAACAGCATCGACGACAGCGACAGCTTCCGCCTCGGCTAAAGCACAGGCGTCAGTAGGGAAAGAAGACCGGTATCTTCACTCCTTAACGAAGATCACGACATTCATGGTAAAACTGAACTCGTTCTTGGAACTCACCATCGGTTCCATAACCAAACAACTAACCGATCTCACGAGCCAAATGGCAGAAGTACGTGGCAGCCTGGAAAATTTAGTGAACAATACCAATACACAACCGTCCATTCCATCCATTCCACCACCCGTGCCCGTTCTACCTGTGTTAAACCCGCCAACCACACCCAAGCCCATACCACCACCGCCGCCGCCGCAACCGAAAGCCAAACCAGTACAGCGTCCTACACCCCGCCCCGCGCCCCGCCCTGCCCCCAAACCCATAAGACCGACTCCAGTGAGGCAACCCATCCAACGTTATATGCCATCTTACCCGATTCAGTACAAACCCGCAGTGGTTCCGGCTGCTAGGAAACCAGCAATTACACAGCAACGACGTGTGGATTACTACCCTGGATCACGTGATAAGAGCTTAAGGTGGCCTGGAAATAATGAATTCCATCCCTGGTGGAAGAATTGGTGGAGTAGCAATTTTCAGGGGTTCTACCCAGAAACTTCCGGGGACACGTCATCAGCAGGGTCTTTCGGATCTAGGAGATCACAGTTTGGGTCCACGAATCAACTTGGATCACAGTTCGGTGGCCAGTCCTCTTTTGGAGACACGTCACAGTTCGGCGCTACTTCCCAATTTGGAGGTGTGCCTCAGTATAGTGGGTCAAAGTTCGGCGCTACATCCCAATTTGGAAGTGTGCCCCGGTATGGTGGGTCACAGTTCGGCAGTTTCGGCTCCTATCCTGGTGGTTCTGCGGCTGCTTGGATGGCAGCAAGCCAGAAGTCCCGGGAGCCCGGAGAGACAGAAGGGAAGGGGAGAAGTACTGCAGGGGGCACTGCAGCCGAATACTGATAGATTCACACAGGGATTCTCTGCCGCCTCCATAGCGTGGTTCCAGAAAACGATACGTTTCCGAGTGGCGAAATTTCGTATTTGAACAGTTCACGTTTTGTTGTCACCGCATTCATGCTGTTTGTAAAAGTATAGGAATGGACAACTAGTAAACCTTAATATTAACAAATTGTACTACTTAGTTATTGCCGTGCGTCACTTCAGCACGAAAGGGATCATTTTTAACATCAGTAGAAGCACGGTTCATGTGTATAGTACATAGGCGGATCCAGGGTAGGGGTGGGGTGGGATGGTGGATCTTGTTCAGGGGGTCTAGGGATTTTCATATTTTAGACCCGTTCGTCCCTTTTTAAAATGCTGGATCCGCCCTTGTAGCCCAAGACCATTCTGTGCATAACGTTCGAGATGCACCAACCGACTCTTAAAGGTTGACACTGACTTGCAATATAGTGAGATCTTCCAGTATCAGGGCCGGCGTAGTAATTAACTTAGTGGTTATAACGTTAACGTTCTCTCGTCACGCCGAAAGCCCGGGTTCGACTCCCCACATGGACACAATTTGTGGAGCCAATGGTGTCCCCCGTTGTTATTGCTGGAATTTTGCTAAAAACGACGTAAGACCCAACTCATTCACTCCTCCAGTAACAAAAGCGATCGTGGCGAGTCACCTTGAGGACAATGCACTTATCCATTTAATGTGTACTTTTGACCAATCTCATTAAAATCAGATCTTAATGGAATGACTGACATGAAGTCGACATTAGCCAATCAGAGGACAGTTTTCTCATGCTTTACGGCACTAATTACAAATTGGCGACTACGCTTCGAAACATATTTTGACAAATTCTCGATTTAAAATTTGGAACCTGAACAAAAGAACATTCTGGAATGGCTAATATATGGTCTAGAGTGTCTAGAGTGTATGGAGTGTATTAAGACCGTAACTATCGTTCGGAATACCCCGTGTTAAAGTTTTCGAGGTTGCATGATTAGAAATCACATTCCGACTGTCACTTTCACGAGCTGGTAAGCGACGCTCTGATTGGTCGGATGAAAGGTTGTTCTGACATGACCCCTAATGGGATGTCCTCAGATCTTTGTTTAGCAGTAGCCAGAACTAAAATCTGATTTTAATGAGATTTACTTTTGACATTAGCAATATCCCAACAAACCACATAACACAGAATATGTTTTACTCACTCACTCAAGTAGTGACAGTGACGTACAGGTTTTCATGGTGTAGTCACGTTCCAGGAATGATATACACGGCATATATAGGGAAATAAAACGTTTCAGGATAAATATCTTACTTTGTCATTTGTTCGTATAAGGCCGCACACATTAATTCAGTTATTCTTCCGAATCTCATCTTTGAGTATGTGTGTTTGTGTGTCTTCCGTATTATCAATGTGGTGGGGGTGAAATGGGGTTTAACGTCGCGTCCAAGATTATTGCACTTATATATATATAGCGACGTGCATGCATGCACGTGTGTGTGTGTGTGTGTGTGTGTGTGTGTGTGTGTGTGTGTTTGTGTCTGCTTGTACTAGTCGGGACTGGTGCCGATTAAGAGTGCTAGCACACTGAGATACCATACCACAATTTAACATGAATACCTCACTCAGACACAGTATACGTCTTTTGGTATGACGCGGCCGGGGATCGAACTGTGCAAAGTGTGACTGCCCAATGTAAATTACCAATATGTGTGTGTGTGTGTGTGTGTGTGTGTGTGTGTGTGGCTGCTTGTACTGCTTGAATGTTATAATGCTACCTAGCCCACTGGGATACCATGCAGCAGTTTAACATTAATACTCCCCCCAGACACAGTATACTGACTTCGAGCCAACCAGTCCTTGTTTTAGCCCTTTGAATGCCAAACACCAGGCAGGGTAACAACAAGTACCATCTTTTAACGTATTTTAGTATGACGCGGCGGGGGATCGAACCCACGACCTTCTGCGCTCCGGGCAGACGCTATACAACTGGACCACGGAGGCGGTCATGGTGTGTTTTGTGTTTAGGTGTTTTGACTTCATGTCTTTACCACCTCGATTCAGACTTTCGATCTTAGCAAATGTAAACAGACACAGATCACAAATATGCCATCGACAGTAACCATATTGGGCGTAGATGTCATGGCGCTCAGAAACATAAATTCATATATTTAAAAAAAACGGAATATAATTGCGCTTTTTGTGCATTCGTAACGACTCGATTACAATCGTTTTCGTGGAACGAAAATGCACGGTTTTTAAGGCCTAGCTGACTCATACCAAGAATTTAAAATCCTCGATGATGGTTGGAAAGTACACCTGACGCGACCTCCTGTGGAGGTGTGGCCAGATCTTCACACAGAGAGTCGGGAATCGTGTCCCTTTATGGTGACTAATTAATTGAAAGTTGAAATATTATTTCATATAAGAAAATTTACTACTACATGAATTGCAACAGAATAACACTTGATGGTCTCCGTAATGAGTCTAAATGACATACATTTTTTGGAGCGTGATCTCTTTATTAGTTGGAATAACCTCCGCTAATAAATGCCATAATGTTTCCATCCTCGGATGCAAACGATCCTCTGTTCGCAAGGTGATGATGTCTTACGAGGAAATCCGATTGCAATATCGACTAAGGGAGGCTACTCCGTTCTACAGTCGACCGCATCAACAAAGATGGCTGAACATGAGGGACAAACGGCAGAGTTGACCATGGAATAGATGCCAACTCTGTGTGAATCTTTAGTGCATTAATGATACCGACGCTCCCATAACATAACATCAGCCAGGTAACTTTATCAACGCTACGGTGATGTCAAATATTGATAAGACATTCAGAAACAGTCCATGGCTTCTTGCTTACATCAAGCTTTGCAGGTCATCGCCTCGGGTTCACAATGGCATTGCCATTCGCGCTGACTGGAACAGACGCGGGCCGGTCAAAATTGACTTTTCTACTCTTGAACTGCCCCTTTTCGTTTCAGAACTGAAAAAGCTGTTTTATTCTATAGATCTGAGTAGTCACATAATCAGAACGCGGATGTTTAACTGTACTATCAAACAAGGAAATATTTTCGCCTGCAGTCTGTAGATTAGCCTAGTCTAGTCTGTCATACCCAGAAACAAATATGTCCAATATAGCCCTTGCAAGTCTATAATAGTGGGCAAGTCTAGATTGCTGCAGTATAGGACAGTCTCTGGGCTCCTTTTTACTATATCTTATTAAGATAATTTAACAACTGTTTTTCTGTAATATATGTTCATTTCAGAGACTAGATATTTGTCTATCTGTGGGTTTGTGGTGTAGGCTGAGCTCGAAAAAATAAAACATTCAGTATTGGTTAAGAGATGAAAGCAGTTTTCAAAGGTAGCTCTAATCACTGTGTATTTACGTTAAGAACCCCAATTTTTTGTCATGTTTTGTATGCAGAATCCCTATTCTAGCCAAAATTTCACAATTTGATCTAAACATATGGATTTTGTGACTAATAATATGTTCAATTTATGCATGATTCATAAAACAAACTAATTTGGTTTGTTAAATTATTTTTTAAGGAATATATGGCAGACAGGGTGTAAGCAATGGTAACATATTGTGCATCAGTCTGTTGCACATCCTTGTGTAATCATGGGACCACCTCCATGGTCTAGAGGTAGATTGTCTGCCCGGAGAGCAGAAAGTCGGCGTTCGATTCCCAGCTGCGTCATACCAAAAGACGGTAACAGACGGTATTTGTTGTTACCCTGCCTGGCGCCCAACATTTAAGGGCTAAAACAAGGACTGGTTGGCTCGGTGGCAGTATACTGTGTCTGAGGGGAGTATTCATGTTAAACTGCGGCATGGTATCTAATTTGACTAACACTATAAGATTGGCTTTAGTCCGGAATAGTACAAGCAGCTACAAACACGTGCATGCACGTCACTCTATAAGTGCAATAATCTTGAACGCGACGTTAAACCCGATTTCACCTCACCTCTCGTAATCATGGGAATTGGATTTCAGTCACATAAGAGATATTGCCATGCCCAAACAATGAATGAATAAATATTGAACTTAAGTGTTTTCTTACCTGTCAACTTGAAGTTTATTGATATTTTGCACAAATCGTGATCGTTTTTTCCCTTGTAATAACGAAGCAATCAGTCGATCGCTTCAGCTTCCAAAACAACTTTTTGACAGTGACGTCATCGGATTTCTGCCAGATGATTGGCTGACCAACAGTGATCACCCTTGAGCAAATATGGTGTGTTTGGAGGGCTACAAATTTTGGCGTTGCGACAAGTGATCCATTAAATGAGTATTTTCAAAAAATATTTACAAGTTACATAATGGTTGTTCTGGTGAATTAAGAAAACCACTCCTATTCCAATCACCTTCAAACATTTTGCACATATATACAAGTCTCAGGTGTCCTAAATTCTTTTTTTTTCAACGTGACATGGACACCAGAACTCAGTACTATCCTCACGGGTGGTACACACTTTCAAATGTACCCTATGGTGACAAGAAGGGTGCGTGCACTGGGCCCATGACACAAACACAATGAACGCACACATCCTCAGAGTTCCTCGGGTTAGAATTTGTGGCACTGGCCAGCTGCTGGCAGCACAGTTCATCTGAGTCGACTTTGTCATTTGAACTCTAACTAAGGAAGTTTCCTCTGATATTCACACAGAGAGGTGTTGTATCTAAGTAAAAGATCTGATTTTAATTAGACTGACCAAAGCAGTACCCAGATGCTCTCTTTCCTAAAAAATCCATTGACACACAATCTTGGGATTGTTTTTTTAGGAGAGAGCGAGTGAATGAATATTGTATTGTCCTGTAATCACTCTTGTTCCAGCTAATATATGTCGGTTTGTAAATAATCAAGTCAGGGCCAGATGAACCAGCAACGATAGAAATTAACTGTTTTTGTCTACTAGTCCTTATAATGATAACATAAAGCAAAACCCTTAAAAATGGCAAATTGGCACTGGTCCTATTGGGCAGTTTGGCAAGGACTATAGGACTAGTGCCAATTTCTAACGCTGACCAGTGGCATGAGGAATGATCCTAACCATTTGGCAAGAGGTAAAAACATGCTGTGGCAGCTCTATTGAAAATGTCATTTTGTCCATTACTCAGCCATTTCTGCAAGAATGATTATAAACAAATTATATGAAGCAGGTATATGGTATGTGGTATAACATATGCACGGCATATTTTGATCTTTTTTCAAGCTTTGACCTTTGACCTTCACATACCCCACTTTTTGTTACCCCACTTTTGTTACTGCATCTCTGAAACTATGAGGTCTATGGAGGTGACACGGTGTATGTAAGTTTACATCTATGGTGTCTCTTAAATTGGCATGCATTCTTATCTGACTTTAAACATGGGTGTCATTATTTCTTTTTAATTTAATTGAGATACAGAGCCTTGTGGCTCTGTTTTTTTACACCTTTTGTATGTATTTCAGTGCACCCAAATCTGTAAGGAAATTTGTTTGGCCTCATTGAATATTTGCAAGTTTGAAATATGACCAATACATTGCTATACCACCGACAAGAAATGGGGAACTGATGAAATGACAGTGATGGTGTTGTAATGACAATAAATGTCTGTAAGATAATTTTCGGGCGTTTAGATCAATATCTAGTGTGTCCACCGTGTTTGGCGACACTTGCACATCACCTTGATTGCATGCTGTTGATTAACTTGCATGGGGTTACCCTTGATATTGCCCATTTTGCCTGAAGAACTAATCCAAGCTGGGCCACGTTGGTGGGTGTTGGGTCATTCTCTCTCTACCTGAGAACATGCCACAGCTGCTCAACTGGGAACATAATGGTCGTCAACATATTGCTGGCCAGACAAATGTCCATTCACAATATCATAACCAAATCAGTTAGGCTGTCATGTGTGATACCACTTCACCCCATGATACTACCACCCCTATACTGATCATGGTCAAGAATTTGTTGCCATGGCAATCTGCAACGTTGCCAACAACATTTTCTACCATCTGTGAATCAGAGGCAAAACCTTGATTCGTCTGTAGACATGATATATAATACATTTGGCACACAGCCCATCCCTGGTATTGCCTATTCCACCCCAATCTTTGCCGCCTATGGTGACCTGTTGGGGTCACACCCTTCTCAGGACACCTTGCTTTCAGGCAGGCTGCATAGAGCCATTTTTTAACAGTAGATGTTAAAATTTGCCTTCCTGTTCTTGTATGGAATTCTCTGATGATAACAGGAGCAGATTTGAATCTATTGCTTAGTGCAAAAAGTGGAATGAGAAGATCTTGACTAGGTGTAAGTTTTTTACGCCTGCAGCACCCAGGTCCATTGCAAGCAAACCCATTTGAAGGGACTTGTCCCACTGTCGAGAAATTACACTTGTTGCTTTGCCAAACATTCTGGCAACTTAGCATTTTGACTTCTAGTGGTGTAATGATATGACGATACAAGGCCCACGATACAATACATCGATTTACAAACCCTGTATCACGATACATACAATACATTCCATTACAAGTTATTTTGCTTTTAAACACATGAATAATTCCCATGATAACAAAACTGCTTAACAACCAGCTTTCACAGATTTTCAAGTATTTCCTGGTTAGCTGTAAATAGCATAACAGCATAACATTTACAGTGCCTTGTAGCCTATCAATTTCTGCGTTCAGATGCACCACCACAATATTGTACATGTACACCTCAATGACAGCTACATTCAAATCTACCCATGAAGATTCGGGGTAGAATTGGTCTTCAGCAACCCATGCTTGCTGTAAAAGGTCACTATGCTTGTCGTAAGAGGCGACTAACGGGATCGGGTGGTCAGGCTCGCTGACTTGGTTGATGCATGTCATCGTATCCCAATAGCGTGGATCGATGCTCATGATGTCAATCACTGGATTGTCTGGTCCAGACCCGATTATTTACAGACCGTCGTCATATAGCTGCAATATTGCCGAGTGCAGCGTTAAACAACAAATAAACAAACAAAACATAAAACATTCAAATCATTAGTTCCCTTGATTTTTGTAGGTTGTATATATATGATATTGTTATATGATATCTCTTCAGGATGGATGAAACTGCCATGGAAATTCTCTTTGATGGCAAACATGGCCTCAGTCTGAAACAAGGTCTCAATAAGCTGTACAAGGACAAGACTTTGTGTGATGTGACCTTGACCTCCAGCGATGGCATTGACATTCAAGCTCATTGGCTGGTTCTGGCAGCACATTCAGATTTTCTTCGGCATCTCGCAGTCAGCAGGAACGTGATGCAGTTCATGGTGTCAGACACAGGCAGCTTGAAACTGAGTAAGCTGTCATTAATTAAATCCTTTATGAGGTTGTGAGGTGGTTAAAATGTTTGTTGTACTTTATCAGAAACTATGTTTAAATATGGTCTTTGGTTTAAGATACAGGTTTGATTCCTGACGTAAGTACAATTTGTAATGGTCCTTTCTTGGGTTCAATACCAAATTGAACTTTCCAAGGGAATCAATTCTCTTTTTGAAAAGCTTGGTTATGCCTATGTTTTCAGTTGTATTTTACCTGTATTGGGGAGTATATTCATGGTATTTGATAAAACTATAATCATTCATCATTACACATGGTATTGTGATACTTCTGTGGAATTCTAACATCTATGTACAATTTTCTTATATGTTGATACTGCCAATATAACAGCAGCTGCCATTACACATCAACATATTGTCATTCTGGATATCTGAATTAATAAGGATATTCTAGGCCTTCAAGAGTGACCCACATGGCAATAGTTTGGTAATCTATGTCAAAAGATGGAAATGCTACAATACATGCAGTGTTAGAAATTATGCATGAAAGTCAACAGGTCATTGTCATAACTCTTTTTAAAAGAAAGAATTAGGGCGGGTCCAACATAAATACCATGAGGAGACCTCAAGGACCCCAGGACCCCTTTAATTTTGAACACTGTATAAGACGCTGATACTAGATAAATTTTAGCACATATATGCAGACAGTGATTGTTAAGGATTTATGTGTTTATACAAATATTCGTAATTTTTAAACTTATCCTATCTCACATGATGCATTTCTCGTTCTTCTATTGATCCTAAGTGGAAAAGTGCCTAAACAAAGGTTTCCAGCATCTAAAAGACAATCCACCCAAACACACCTAGCATCACCATGATCACCTCCCAACATTCTGGGTTATGCATGCTTTCATTGCAGTCGACCAACACACTCAAAACACATATGTGCCTGACTTGTAGGCAGGTGTTTTCCCCTTCCAACCCCCATGATGTCTGCTTGGATTGCTGCTGTCATTGCAGCTCATCTCTTCAATCTTGCAGCATTTATCTTCACAAGTGCCGGCAAAGAGAACAAGAAAAATTGACAAAAACAAAGAAAAGTCCTATGAAAAAGTCTAAAAAATCAGCGAAGCTACCTATATCTTCGATGATCGTTGAATTGTCTACCCCAACGCTTCCTATCTTGTCTCTCGATGACAATGGAGTATCTGACCACTTTCTCACGGAAGATGTTCCAGTCTTGACCGCTCAGCCCCTTCTGGAATATCGAAGTCTACGGCGATTCAACCTACTGTAGTTTCCTCACAGTTGGCCACACTCCCTCTTGCTTCTGTGAAGCCTACCGTCTACTGCCACTGATAATGTCAATCTTTTTCCACCTGAGGGCATCTCTCAGACTGCAGTTTTATCTACCTCGGCAGCTTGTCACTCCACGCCTCCTTCTCGGTGTTCCTGATCCTCTAATCGGTGTTCAGCAAACAAGCTTTCAGTTCTCCCACAGAACTCGAATCGACGATCTTCGAAGAATCCGTGATCACAGGATCTGCGATCTCCTCCCTGGATCAACATACTTCTACGGTTTGACGAACCTTTCAAGGATCGCGACACTCCCAACGTTCGCCACTCCTCTAAGGATCGCCGCATCTGAAAGGAGCGACGTAACTCTAAGGATCAAACGTTCCCCCATGGTTTGAGGTTGGAGATCTTCATAGGATTGATGATCAGGGGATTGGTCATCTACTCACATTTCGGGTAATAACTTTATACCAATTCTATTGGACACTGGTCACACTTGGCTCACTACTCTTCTTTCATTCATCTTGACTCTCGTCTACGTTGTTGTTCTCGTTCTTATGACTATCATTATCAACAACGAGAATTTCCATGGAACCCTGCTATGTTTAATGCCTACACAAACCCACCCCGGCACAGTTACTCTCTCTTACAAGCTGTGAAGTCAGCGTGCCTCTTAGTTGGGTCCTCCTACAGATGCAGTAACTCCCAGATGACGTCAATCGCATTACTAGGGTTCTTCGTCCCTGCGACTTCATGTTCAGTGTAGATCTACAGGACATGTATTTACACGTCCCCATCCATCGGGAGCATTGCCGCTTCCTCCAGTTCATTTTCCTCGGCCACCACTACCAATGGAAGGTGCTCCCATTTGGAATTTTTTCACCCCTTAGCTATTTACCTGCCTCACTAAGCCCTTTGTCAAATTCCTACATGTTCAACGCATCATCTTCGAATCATATATCACCAACTAAATTTAGTTGAGACTCAACAAAGGTTAAGACGGGAAAAGGAGACATATGGGTGAGACATTTACCTGATCCAGTTCCTTGTACTATATCTTTCTATATCTAAAATAAACCTTGGCATGGCTCTTTGAGGTTATTATAATTTTGGGGGTTCTCCCAGACTGAGTATGCGATTGGAGAAAGCTTTCACTCTTCTGTAGAGACTTATGTCCTTACCTGGAAGTCGCAGCCTGATTCCTGTTTCACTGTCCTCTATTCCACTCACCTGTGCCTTCTGCATGTGTTGTTAGGTGTTGGTTCACTGATCCTTTTGTGGATATAGTCAATCGTTCCTCATCCCGTCTTAACCTTTGTTTAAATCACCAAGGCGTGATTGATGGTTTTGATGACGCGTTGAAAGAGATGCCAAGTTGGCTTGTCCTATCATCCAAGGGAGATAGTGATACCCCTGTCTTGTTGTTTGGATTTACGAATCGAATCATATGGCTTTACAGTTAATCTTCTTAATGAACATGTTTCACATGTTGTTCCCAATTTCAAGTGTTTCATTTGTTCACTTATCAGAGTCTTTTTTAGAGTGTCTTTGTGACACTTGACAGTGTTACTTAATGTTGTTCTGTATCACTGTTAAGCACGAGCTTCCTTGTGTATATCCTATGGTTGTTGCCTTTATAGGCTAGGGATTTGCGCCCCCACCTTTCAACCGTGGGATAAATGCACAGTGTGACATGGGATAAGTTTAAAAATTTGTAAGTTTTACAGTAAATTGTATATTGATATCCTTATTCTCACACACTGTATGTTCACCATTCTATCCTTGAATCACAATTCCTGTAGCCTATTAGCTCAAGAAAGAGAAAGTTGGCTAGAGAAATCACATGTTGAGCACATGTAGGTCGACCAGCATGATAAGCGTGCATGACCCAGATTGTTGGGAGGTGACCATGGTGATGCGAGGTGTGTTAAGGCACTTTTCCACTTAGGATTAAAAAGAATGAGAACTGCATATTGTGCACTAGGACAAGTATATAGATATACAATTTCTTGTAAAATGTACAATTCTTATTCTATTAGTACAATAATTTTGGTTTCAGACATTGACTCCGAGATACTGAAGATGATCCTGGACTATCTGTACACTGGGGAGCTGGTGGTCACCAAGGACAGTCTGCACAAGATAAAGCAAGCTGCCAAGGTCCTACAGCTGTCCAAAGCTCTTGCCTTGCTGGAGCGGTCTCACTTGTCCTGCTTGGGTGATCAGAGTTATGAAGCCGAGTCCGAAATACTGCAACCAACTGAATTACCTCTGTCTCCTGTCCTTGAACTACAACAGCTCCCAAGTCAACAAGACCAGGGGTTTGCTGTTGTAGGGACTTTAACACAGTCACCTGCATCATATAGTCGAGTGCAGTCCATGCAGGCACCGTTTGTCCAAGTGCCATCCACTGCATCACCCATGGCATCTTCCCAGGGCCATCTCCAAGGCCAACAACATGACACTGATTGCCATAGATTGGAACAAGCTGCACCAAGTTTTCAGGAGGAAGCATCTTTACAACCTACCATTGTGTCTGTGGAATCTCTGAATGGTCATCAAACAGCATTTAGTCCTCCTTCATTTTGTAATGCATATCTACACCAAAGACCTCACACCAAGGACAGTTCTCATGAACAGCCCAGTGTCAGCAGTGGGAAGGATGGAGAAGTGTACAGCCAACAGGAAGGTAAGCTGAAAAATACTTCAATGGAAGTGTCTCCTAGCAGGGAACTCTTCATGACAAATGGCCAGGGCGATGATCTGTATGGCAACACTAATCAAGGGGTACATTCCACAGATCTTGCAACTTCTCCCAAAGAACAGGATGCTTTTTCTGAGCCTTCATGTGTTTCTCCTGAACATGAGGATCTTGACTCCAGTGAACCAGGTAGAAGGAGAAGTGAACCCATTAGGCCGTACTTGGATGAGGATATGAATGCAGGTGGGAGAAGTCAAGGTAGACCTTTGAAATCATGCTTCTCCTTCAGATCTGTTGGGAAAGACCGAAGTGCAGTTCTCAGAAGAAGAGGTAGGCCACAAAAAGTAGTTAAAGGATTAGGATTAGACATTCTCAAACGACAGTGTCCCAAATCTCAATGTCCCTCTGTGAAATATGTGAATCTTTGCACAAAAAAAAAGGTGTCCAAAATTCCTGCGATAGAAAAACAGATGAATCACGATGAATCATCTGCTTCTGTAGTGTTAGAAGTTGTGTCAACTAATATGTTCCCAGAAGAAGGATTATTGAATGAACAGCCAGAAGGGGAATCATCACAGTCAAGGGTAAAATATACATCAGAAGATTTGACAGCACAAAATGGTTCTTCATATTTAAATGGGTCATCCAGTACTTCAGGAGATTGTGAAGTAGACCTAGGACTTGTGAAGACTGAACAACCTGATGCCGAGTCAGGTGACCTGGATTATGTCATATATGAGAATGCTGACACCTCTGATACTGACTCCTGTGGACGCTCCTTCAATAGAGTTGATGATACATCACTCACTCAGGGTCAGCCTTACACTGGTCAAATCAATGGCACCAGACACAGGAGAGGGAAGAAAAGAAAAGGCAAAGTTAGAAATTGTAGAGTCAGAAACAACATCACCTCAAAACTTCAAATACATTCATCAAGTGGATCAAAGTCATACCACAAACTCAGAAGTGCATTAAAGAGTAAGTATTTACTTTCTCATTATGTCCACAACATGTGTATTTGGAAGACAGAAATGTCACCATTTCAGTGCAAGGTGTGCAAGGGAACGTTTAAGCACCTAAGTTACTTGAAGTATCACTGTTTGTCAAAACACTTAACAGTCAAAAGACAGAAAGTAAAACCTCAAATAAGAGCTTTAACACAAAGTCTACCCTCCATCCAAGCAGCTCTGATGGAAGACAGCTCTGTTCCAGCCCCACACCCACCAGGAAGTTCATGGACTCTAAGGACAAGTGGAAAACCATGGACAAAGGGCACTTCACAGACAGCCGGAAGTGATGGGAAGTTCAAAAGGACCAGGAGAAGGAAAGCTTGGAAGTTTGTTCTACCGACAATCAATAAAGGTTCTGGCAAGGAGGGTGAGCGGAGAATTTCAAGAAGGATGTCTACGAAACTGGATCACACTACTAACAACGTAAGTTGATTACATGTATTTTACAGCCTGAGAAATAGGATGGCTTATTGGGGTAGTGGTTGCTGTTTTCACGTTCCGTGATAGGAACATAGGTCATTTTCTATTATCCTAAAATAACAGTTTTATGTGTAGTTTAAGCATGTCTTAAGTTATCACATGTATAGATAAACAGCAGAACGTGGTCCAGGTAATCCATACGTATTAGGACATGAATTCAGTAATGTTTCTTGTGATTGTGCTGGTAATTGAGAACATGTCAAATGTTCAATGTGAACAGTTTGTGTAGCATCTGTTGTCATGGTTGCTGCTTTTTGAGTTATAAATCTGTTTTTCTGTTTGCAGTCACTCTTGCAAGATGAAGATAGACACCAACAGAATGTAGTTTTTGATAACAATATCCCATCCACTTCAGGGGACAACACCAGTTTCACAGTGTCAGATGAAAGTGAAAAGTCACTTTTGATAGGAGGAAAATCCATGAAAAAGGGAAAGTACAATTCTGCAAGGTATCACTGCGATAACTGTGCTAAACCATTCCATTTCAAAAGTAACATGCTTCGCCATTTGAAGTTTTGCAATAGGCCAAAGGTCAAGGACAAAAAGATATCACAGGGAAAGGTCATCGGCAGGCCTAAAAAGATCCCATCCAGTTCAGTGGTAGCAGACGTGAAGAAATCACCGAATGGACGGGCAACCAACTTACAGATGATTGTGAAATATATCAATGGAACAACTTGCACATTGTGTAACAAAACATTTTCTCGTGCTGATACCACAAGAATGCATATTCGTGCAGTCCACTTTCAGCAGAAAAGGTTCACCTGTGTGTGCAATGAGGTGTTCAGCTGGAGTGCAGCTTTGTCTGTTCATAAGAAAACATGTAGCTCTTTTATCAGTCAGTAACTGGATGAAAAGGCAATGTTTCTTCCACATGAACTGCCCCATGGCCACTCTTCTGTGTTTTAACCATAAGTCATTATCCGAAGAGTTCAGTTATTTTTGGGAGTTGCATTATTTTTATAAACATAAATATTTAAAGATCAATGTTAATATTTAAAAAAAAATTGTTTTGATCCCAGTAATTAAATAAGTGTCTCAAGCCATTGCCTTTGATATGTTGTCAACCAAAATGATACTTTACTGTATGACGTGGCCTCTTTTTAGGTAAAATGAGAGAAATATTGAATGGGATTACATGTAAAATAAACTCAATTTAGAACATCCTTAAAACTCTGGCAGTGCAGTAAAGTTTATGTATTGTTTATTCTTGTTATCATATATATACACAGCGATAGAAATTCGCTCTAGCCCTATAGTCCTTGCCATACGGCTCAATAGTTATAGTATATCATAAGGACTAGTGGAAATTTGCACTTTTTAAGGGTTTTCTTATGTTTTCATTATAAGGACTCATGGACGAAGACTGTTAGTTTCTATCGCTGAAACAGCTAGTCACAGACATTTCTGAACGATATGAAAATTGTGTTTTATATTGTCATAAGGGCTGGGACGATACACCAACTGTATGATCTGATACGTATCACGATATCTTGCTCACGATCTGATACTTGCATGTGCTCTTATCTGGTATGTAGGCCTTCTTTTTCAAAGACAGAATGGCAAAGTACTTTGCACACTGAGACTGTTTTAGTGGTCTAGTGGTAGAGCGTCTTCCCAGAGCGAATGGTTGGGGGTTCGATCCCAGGCTGCATCATACCGATAGATGTAAAAAAGATGGTACTTGTTGTTACCCTGCCTGAGCATTAAAAGGACTGGTTGGCTTGGAGTCCGTATACTGTGTCTGAGTGGGGTATTCATGTTAAACTGCGACATGGTAACTCAGTTGCCTAGCACTTTATATCCAGCATTAGTCCTGGCTAGTACAAGCAGCCACACCCACACCTGCATGTATGTCGCTAACTAAGTGCAATAATCTTGCATGCAACATTAAAACCCCATTTCACTTCACCTTCACCTCACCTGGCACAATGATGATTTACAGTTGACAGTGTCTAGTATGTTGTAATGGATTTAAATATTTACATTTTCACTACTAATTAGTGTTTCCTGTAACCGTTATTAAAGCAAACATGTAAGGTAAGAATCGATATAATTTATTTAGTCTGCGACTAATTGATACTTATATCAAGAAGTAAAAAATCGCAATCCATCAGTGTATCATCCCACTACTAATTTGTCAATGTGGGACACTATGACAGATGCTTTAAGAAAATTTTAGAATAATATTCACCTTCACTTTGAGGAAGTATTTCATTTCCTGTAGATTTCGTACATGACTGAGATTGAATCATCTTGAACCCAAAATGATAACTTAAACAGGAAGTGTATGTGAACATTCTACTTTTCCTCTGTATTTATCATCACCATAAGCTGGTTCATTTACAGACTTGCAGAAGAAGTTTTCAGGGTTAGTGGTTCATAAAGGTGAGCTTCAGTAGTTAGTGCTAGTACTATTATCATGCTGATTTACAATTCATTCTCATTCAGTGGGGATGGGCAACATCACTGCCAATAATAAAATGTTTTCAATAATCATGACATATTTTTATACATCATGTAGATAGCTTATTATGAACATATGCAATCTTTTTACCTTTAAATCAGGTATCCCATATTTCTGAATGAAACTGACATTTGGTACATACATGCTCCAAGCCTCATTGCTAGATGATATTGGCAGCTACAGGACGATACTTCAAACACTGCTGATAATATTGCACATTGAACTGACAATCTATTTCTCGAGTATATATATTAAATATCAAAGTGTTATGGTGTAATATTGTCTTTCTGTATTGGTGTCTTATTTTTATTCTTCTACATTGATGCTGTGCATTATTATGTGAATAAACATAAACGTGTTATTTAATCATATTTTAGAAATCAAATTTTATGAATTGTTTAAAAATTGTTTTTAAGAACCACAGGGCACAGGGCTTAAACTTGGTATGAATGTAATGACTACAAGAAAATATAATTTTGCAGAAGGCATGACTTTTAGTACTCCAACTTGTTGTTTCAAAAATACTTTTTGTTTCTTTTCTTTTTTAGAATCTTTTGCACCGGTTTTACTTTTACTATGTTTATTTATACTAAAATAAGGTTGAAGTGACTTTGTGAGTTGAGCTCACCTGACTGAAGTCTGACTTGGAATTTGTTACAATGTACTCGTTAAATCTTTTAATGTCATCATCGAAGCAGTCAGGGTTGCGGCCTAGAACGCCCCAAACATTTGATATCAAACTACCGTATTTCCTCTATTTGACACTACGCCGTCTATTAAGTTCATGAGAGCCCTTGACTCGGCGTGTATTAGAGACCTGGCTGGTATTAGAGACCCAGCGTGTATTAGAGGAAATAAAGATCCGTTTTACAGTTTATATGGGGGTGATTGATCGGCAGCCATTTTTTATGAATCGATATGTAGGCTTTCTATGTATTTATGCGCACTTTTTTTGTGAAAAGGCTTAATATTTTTTAAAGGGGTTTCCGTAGCAAAAAGGAAACCTCTTTTAAACAATCAGAATCAAGCATTCATCAATGTCATGGTAGAACATGTTTTTGTATCCAATCAAAGTGCATGTTTGGTTCTGTAAGCTGTAACTTTTTGTTTTGAAATTGAGGAACTGAAATGGAGCATGTGTGTTTCTCCTCATGATATCATAAGATTTCAGTGTTACTGTTTAGTTCCCAGTATTTATGTATTATATTTTTACTCATATACATTGATGCTGTGCACTTATTGTGAAAACACATCAATGTTATGTACCATGTTAACATGATCTTTTGCAATAGATATACCATGCTGTAATTTGTAAGTCTTTGAATGAATCATTGAATGTTTGTATATAAGCATGCTTTCATTCAATAATGGTAACAGTGCCATAGTTGCTTTGTTTTGTCATAGCAGAATTTGGATTAAAAGAATATATTCATTGATATTTGTTTTGGGAAATAATTTACAATGGTTTGAAATGCTTTGTCTCGTCAGCTGTTTCCCACATTGAAAGATCAATGTGCACTGTCAACTAACATCAGCCTTTCACAACAGAGGGGTGGTCGGGTAGCCTAGTGGTTAAAGCATTCGCTTGTTATGCCGAAGATCCAGGTTCGATTCCCAACATGGGTACAATGTGTGGAGCCCATTTCTGGCGTCCCCCGCCGTGATATTGCATGAATATTGCTAAAAGAGGCGTAAACCAAAATCACTCACTCACTCATTTACAACAGATGTTAAATCACAAAAGTTTCAAAGTTGTAATGGACTAACCATGACATTGGGATGAAGTATCATCAATAATTAATTGACTGTTGAGGCCAAGTGATACACGTGCCCAGTGATTTAAGATGCCACAATTCGCTGCGAGTTGCATCCATAAGCCATGCCAGAAATCTGTAATCAAGGGTTTGCATCCCAATTTTGCCCTGATTGTGTTTCTAGGTTTGACAGCACCTTGCCCTGATTGTGTTTCTAGGTTCGACAGCACCTAACCCTTGATCGTGGGTTTCATCAAAGTGGTAAATGTCCAAGACCTGCCTCACCTCAGGCTTTCCTCCAACATCAAGCTAGCACAACATAACTGAAATACTGTTCTAAAGTGGGGTTAAGCCAAACCCATTGGGCCAAAGGACAGATTAATCATTTTGCATAACAGTCACAGACAGGGGTTTGGATGTATGAGTCATTGAGTGAGAGGGAGCACCAGAAATGACACTCAGGATTCATCACATTAAAAAGAGTCCATTTAGTCCATATGTAGATTTTTTTCTCACTAAACATGCTAAATGTAGGGGCAGCCATTCGGTAAAAACAAAACATGAGTTGAAATAAAGGTCACCAGTATGCAATAATAGTCAATGTTAAGAATAAAATACAAAATGTTACTCAAAAATTATTTGCATAAGTACTACAGTTTGCTCTACCCCCGTAACTCCAAAAGTGTACTTTATCGCAAATATGGAACAGTCAGCACCTTTGATCTTTTAGTGAACATCTTAGAATTATAAATAATGTACACAAAATACAAAACAAATACCAATAAAAAACCCTCAAAGTAAAGACGCCATATGAAAGAATTGACAATGTGTACAATAGAGCATCAATGCTAAAGGACAACATCGACAATCAAGAATGCCAGACGACACTGCAATTTGTACCACATTCTGAGTTTAATCATCTGTGTATTCCACTGTGTATATGCATGCAATGCGCAACATGATGCCGAGGTTCACGACGTATTGCGTCTTTCTACTTGCACCCTTCATGTGACGTCATATACATGTTGCAGTTATATACTAGTATCTAGCATTTGGTCACTGCCACCAGGAAAGCGGGATGTTTTGATAAATATTTTGTTGGTATGTCAAGGGCAATATTGTAAATCTGACAAATCTGGAAGTTTCATACTATCTACCAATAGTTGTTTGTTCCTTATATGACATCACACAAAGGGTGCACGAGGAATGACGTCATACATTGTGCACCTTGCCGAACTTTATTCATAACATGTGGCTGTCATTGTGTACTGGTTACTTTTATTTTAACTGTGGTATTTTTGGACGAGATTGCCTCCGATCTAAATTGGCAGCTATTATAAATAATATGCTTTTTACTCTGGTTGTGAGTTGCACAATATTGAGAGAAATCCCTGGCAGGATAATCTACGTTTCACTCCTTTTGTATTTGGAGTGAGTGAGTATGGTTTTATGCCGCTTTTAGCAATATTCCAGCAATATCACGGCGGGGGACACCAATATGGGCTTCACACATTGTACCCATGTCGGGAATCAAACCCGGGTCTTGGGCGTGGCGAGCGAATGCTTGAACCACTAGGCTACCCGACCGCCCCTTTTGTATTTGGCAACAACCACCTGCAGATTGAGTGCCATGATGATACCTTGTATATAATGTTGTATAAAACAAAACACTTATTATTAATTGATCACTAGCATTCATACAAAATTACACCTTGTGCATAGTTTCGGAGCTCTTTATAAACATTCATTAACTTAGATTAATACAATATTTCCTGTTTAAAACACAAAAGATTTCATCTTGATCCCTTGAACATCCTTGGGCATATGTGGAAGGAACGTGACCTACAGCAGATGCTTACCTCTCACGAAACCAACGAGCGCAGATATGGCGCTGACAAACAAACACCTGGGATTCCAATCAAAACATTCAAACTCTAGCACAGCCAAGGTGGGAACAGTGGGAAATATTGTATAATTTTAACCTATGACTAGTTAAGTTCCCATAGAAAGTGTCACCATTTGGCTAAAGATGGAAGGTATTGATAACATTTAATAAGTTGTCAATGTCATATTTTATATACACAAGACATGATAAATGTACATAATATACACAAACTATAAGAATATATTCCATCCATGTCACTTTCACATCAATATATCCCATGATAAAGCAAAACATTGAAAACCAACAATTTTGTAATTACAAAAGATACTGAAACTTGAGTGAAAGATAGCTTTTTAACATGTGTCACATGAAAAGCATGTATTGGACACAGGACTAGAATCATAATAAACATGATAAATGATTCTGATCACAATACAAACATTAATCCATTCACTTCAAGATTGTGTCAATTTCTTCCTAGTCTTCAATTCCTACATCACTGGTCCTGTCTGAAACACTGTTACAGGGGTATGTCTTCAGATTCAAAGATTGTATCATGTTTTGTTTGTTTGTTTGTTGTTTAACGCCACACTCAGCAATATTCCAGCTATATGAGGGCAATCAGTAAATAATCAAATTTGGACCAGATAATCCAGTGATTGACTTCATGAGCATTGGTCCATGCAATTGGGATACAATGACAGGCATCAACCAAGTCACTGAGCCTGACCACCCGATCATGTTAGTCGCCTCTTACGACAAGAATAGGGGGAATGGGCGGCCCAGTCATCTAAGGCGACGCGATTCGTTGTGCAGAGCTGCGTCCCTTGGACATGCCAGAAACCTTTGATTGTGGGTTCGAATCCCGGTTCACCCAGATTATGTTTCTAGGTTTGTCAGCACCGTACCTGTGCTCTAGGGTTTCACCAAAATGGTAAACGTCCGAGGCCTGCATCACTTCGGGCTTTCCTTCCACATTAAGCTGATATGCCGTGATATAACTGGAATAATGTTATAGGCGGAGTTAAACCCAACACACTCACTCACTTCAACAAGCATAGTCGCCTTTTATTGCATGCATGGTTTGCTGAAGACCTACTCCGAATCTCCACAGGTAGATTGTATTATGTCATAATATGTACATACACATTATATACACATGATTGTCATCATTAATTTGAAAAAAACTTGAACATTCTTGCAGTTGAAAATACAAACATTGTGATAACATAAAGCATCATAAGGCCACATGTTGGGAAACATGTTTGGGGGTGGGAATATTGTCAAGGCTCATTTGATCAATTGTCCATTAACAGCTTAATCATGTTATGATGTACTGTCGAGACAAAAGTTTCAGATCAACTTAAATCCAACACTTTTCCAGTGTTACATTATTTTCCTATGGAGAAAACTTTCCTGGTGCCAGTTTTCCGGGGACCATAGAATCCTGAAAAACATGATATTGGAGTTATCTGAGAATTTGAGTGTATCAATATGAATATTAGAGCATTAACCATGATGACTAGGTGAAAACGTAATCTTCATATATATTTAAACCTGGGTTTTCATCATGACAAGCAAACACTATTAACAGGGACATTCCATGTGAAGCAATGGTTTTATCCCAGATACAAAGCATGCTGTATGTCATGATGTAGCATGTTCTGTATTAGACAATGGTTTACTTGCAGAGACAATCATTCAGTGTGAAGCAATTGCGTTCTTTATACTACTTTTCACGGCAGATTGTAAGAGGTATCATGGTTCTGTCATGTATGTGAAGCATGTTGAAAATCATCACACATCACTTTTTCAATATTGTCACTTTTTCAGTATCTTCTCATTTCATAAATGATAAATAAGTGTCCATCAATGACAACAACTGATAGAAAAGCAACCTGTTGATATTGTTTCTGCTGCAATATTGTTGACAACTTGACTAGACAGTAGACATGGTAGACTGCACATATGATCATGTCTTTATTTTGAAGAGGTAAATGTCTTCAGCATTCTAGCACACATGCCAGATTGATGCAGCTTGCATGTTTCACGTACACAGTGGTCGGAACCAAGTTCTTCCGTTTTTGTTTTTTATTTTGACAGTGACACTATGACGTGTATTGTTGCAACACCCAACGTTACTGTTAGCATTACTTATTCCATCTGCTCATCCTGTGTGCATTGTCCATATCCTCACGCCTGGCAGCATACGACACATTTCATCTGCCTGAGCCTTACAAATGACTCCCTACATGGATACATACATTAAGTGTTTGCTACTTCCCTTGAGCATCTGCTTGATGAACATACTTTTCCAAAGCATATCTTGATCAATATGGATATGTTCATACTGTATCCAGAACTTGATGAATGTCATCTAAAACCTGGATGATGAATAATCACATAGGTGCTGTGCTGTGCACTGTACCAAGCAAGCTTGCTTGAGTGTCATCAAATGGAATGATTTCTTAGAACACCGAATTTCTAGTAAACGTATAGTCGCCTCATACGTCAGAGTATTTGTAACCATGCCGACATATTTCCAGTACACCGGTGATCAGTGTAACCTCATCAAACTTCTGAAGACATCAAACGACGCACCTGATAGAACCAGCCAGAATGGAATCATCACAATGTACGTGGATATAATGTCATCAAAATATTGTACTTTGAGACAGAGTAGCACTTGGAACGACATTTTTAGCACGACCGAAGCCATAAACCAGGCTTTTCTTCTCATTGTCAGTTCGTTTCTATCATACCCATTTTTACAATGGACGATCATATTTACTGTAAT